GAGCTGTCTCTTCCAGTGAGTCGGTGGGGATCAGGGCAGCAAGGAGGCCATTTAAATTAAAAGGCCCTCTGGGTATGTCACAGAAATCTTTTAGAGGCTTGGTGCATGAATTTGTGTTTGGATGGGGTCTGCCCAGCCTGGCCAGGGGCAGGAGACATGGGTGGTTGGCCGGCCTACCTTCTGGTCAAACTCCTGGTAGAGGAGACAATATATATAAGTGTGCGTCCGTCCGTGCGTGTGTGTGTGTAAAATATATATATATGTATATATATGTGTGTGTATATATATGTGTGTGTGTATATATATGTGTGTGTATATATATGTGTGTGTGTGTGTGTATATATGTGTGTGTATATATATATTATATTATACATATATTTTTATATATTACACACACACACACTGAGTGGTCGGATTATTATGCATTCGGAGATCGTAATAATCTGGACACTCAGTGTAGTTGACATCTCGCTCTTTTTCACTCAACACCTTACTTTGAACATTCTCACCTCATTACTCTTCACCGTCATATTCCCGACGGCCACACAAATGTCCCTGCGGCTGAGCCACGGGCTATTCCACCTTTCCCTTGCACTTGGCCCTTTGTGGCTGTGTCCAGTGTTCTCACCTGGGAAAGGGGCCCACGGGTGCTGTGAGGTCCAGGACGTGGCCCACCTGTGCCCTCGTGTGGCCACTGCTGGGACAGGTCCTTAGGGCACCTGCAGGTCTGAGTTGGCGCTGGGCAGGAACCCCGCCCAGGCGGGGCCCAAGGTCGCGGGGCTGTCACTGGGCGGCCTGGCGAAGACAGTCTGGCTCCCAGAGCCGCCCCCTCGGGACGCCCGGGCCTCGTGTCTGCACTCACATTCCTCAGGCTATTTTGCCATTTCCTTTCGTGCTAACCCAGAGGGGCTATTTTGGAAGCTCCTGTAAGCAAACTGAGCCCGGGCTGGCATTTGGGCGGATGTGAAAGAGCCCTAAGTGAGGGGCTCGGGCGTAAGCGCGGCCCGGCCCTCGGAGCCGGCGTTATATTTAGAAGCCTCACCTCCAAATGAGGTGAAATTGCAGGTTCCCCGTGGCGGGCGGGGGCCTTGGCGGGCAGTGAGGGGACAGATTTAGTGGAGCGGGCTCCACTCCGCAGCCACACCTCGGGGAAGAGGCCCGGACGGTCCCCAGTGTCGAGGGAGCAGCTGGCTGTGAGGACCCTCCAGCTGCCTGTCTTCCCTGCGCCCACCAGCTGCGTCCCTGTGGCATCGGCGGCGAGGGCTGCCCAGGCTGCCAGGCCCGAGAGGCAGCGAGGGACACGGAAGAGGCAGTCCTGTCTGCCACCCAAGGTTTGGGACCTGCATGACTCCTGTGGCCTCTCTCCCTGCCCCCGGGGCCAGTGAGGCCTCTGGCTTGTCTCTCATGCCCTGAGGGCTGCTGGCTGCCCAGGGCCACCCATGATCCAGCAGCTGAAGGGTTAATGCCAGCCACAGCCGGGGGAGGGGGGCCCACAGGTGCAGGGAGTCTCCCCGTGCTCAGCCTTTGTGCTGGGTGGTCAGGGCCCCTGTCGATGATTAAACAGGAATGTAACCCTTGTCAAAGGTGACCAGCCTTCCCTGGGGCTGGCCGGGGTGCCCGAGACTCCAAGGGTCTCAGCCAGGCCCCACCCCATCTCCAGACCTCCATCCAGCTGGCGAGATGGCAGGGGAGCTGACTGGGGTCCAAGGAGCCCACAGAGACCTGGATTCCTATACTCCCTTACCCCCCTATCCCACAGGGCATGAGGCCACCCCCTCAGACCCCTTCAGGGGCCCTCGCCTCCCCGCAGCCTGGAAGCCAAAGCCAGAGCAGCCCAGCACCACGTGCCCAGGTTCCAATCCCAGCTTTGGGGTGTTTTACCCGTGTGACCGTGGATGAGTCCTTTCCCCTCCTTTCTGAGCCTCGGGTTCTTTATCTGCAAAATGGGACGATGATAGCACTTGCTTCCTAGAGCATGGAGGAAAGTGAATGAGATTTTAGCCCTTAGAACAGACAGGAGGCAGCCGGCTGGCTCTCCAGCCGGCCGCCGGAAGCTGCTGCAGTGTAAGTCAGGCGTCATCGGAACGTCGCTTTTGCTTATCATTTACATCTCGCCTGTGGCAGCGCGTGCTCTAAAGCGGTAGAGCTGAGTCCTTGTGACAAAGCCAAAAATACTTACTCTCTGGTCGTTTGCAGAAGACGCTTGCCTGCCCTCGGAGTGCAGCACCGAGGGGAAACTCTCACCTTTTATCCCCAGCTTTATTCTGCCACGACCTGCACTCCCGGGGAAGTAGCGGGGGAAGCAGCCTCTGCCCCTCAGCCCTTGTCCCCTGGTCCCAGAGGTTGTGCTGTGAACCTGCCCCAGCCCACGTCCCCCACGGACCCTGCCATCTCCCTGCCTGCCCCTGCTCACTCCCGGGCCCAGGGCATGGGGGATGGGGAGTGGCTCACCCAGAGCAGGTGCTGGGTGGCGGGAGGGGGGTCCTGACTGTCTAACAATCAGCCGGGGAAAGCCCTCACTGGTGGAACTCGCCGATGTCTGCCGTGTACGTGTTCCTATCGTGGCTGCCTTCACGCTACCAGGATTCCCGGAATGTAACGGTGGCCTCAGTGAGCTGCTCCACCGGCAGCCACACAGGGCAGGTGGGGGCTGTGGGGACCTCCCTGCGGGCCGGGGCAGGTCCTGGGGTGCGAGGCACCTGACACGCACAGCGACAAGTGCTGGTGTTGGCATCCGTACACCCCGGTTCTAAACCTGCCTCTGCCGCTTTCGAGGGGGTCCCTGGGCCACCCTGGTCCTCTCGGAGCCTCAGTTTCCTTGTCTGTCAAATTAGGTTTGCAGTGGCTCCTAGGCTTAAGGGGGGTTGTGTGGACTTAATAAGATAGTTTGCACAAGGCACTTAGCCAGGCTGCTTGATAATGAGCATCCCATACATGGTGCCTCCATACCAGACGGCCTCAACCTCCCCATTCACACACAGTGCTGTCGCTCATGGGTTTGGAGCAGGTGACAAACAGTCCCTGGCACTGGGCTGGCCACACAGTGGCTGCTCAGCACATGCTACCCCTGACCCCCCCTCCCCCAGGGCGGGAGGCTCTCCGGGCTTCCCCCGCTACCTGCCCCATGGGGTTTGGGTCAGATCGGGGGCACAGAGACAGCCAGCTCCTTCTGAGTGCCTCTTGCCTTGTGTGCTCTTAGCTCAGTGGTCCTTTTCTGAATTTGTGATCACTACAGATGTGATCACTGAGGCCCAGAGCCCGAGAGGGGCACAGGTCAGCCGGGGTTTGAGCCCAGGTCTGGCTTCTCTGCTCCCAGTGCTCCCCGGTGGGGCCGTGGGGTGGGGTGCATAGGGGGACGGGAGGCTTGGGGGACTCACAGATCTGCTGGGGTTTAGAGGGAGGGCTCCGGAGCCCCTGGCAGGGTGACAGACAAAAGCAGCACTGGACCCCGGACAGATGTGGCTGGAAAGAGAACAGAACTCCAGGCAGAGGCCACAGCCGGAGCGAAGGGGTGGAGGCGGGCTGGGCTGGGGGTGGAGGGGAGGTGGAGGCAGGGGCCGCACCAGCAGGACTTGTTGGGGTGGGATCCATTATAGGTCGGGCCTGGGCCCCGGGATGGTGGGGCCGGGGAGTCAGGTCTGAAACTGCAGCAGCAGAGATGTAGGTTAGATACGGAGGATGCTTTCCGATCGTCCTGCGGGGAGAGAGCAGGTCACGGTCCCAAGGGATGTGTGGCAGGCTTCCAATCAGGAGACGGTGTGGAAAAAAGGGAAGACAGCCAGGGTTCGAGGCTGGCCCCGTTGCAGCCTGGGTCACAGACGGGGCAGTGGATCGGGGGCTTCCTGAAACATTGGATGCCAGCAGCCTGGTTTATGGAAACTGGGCTTTGTCATCCCCTACTCACAACCCTCCCATGGCCCTGGCCGGTTTGGCTCCGTGGATAGAGCATCGGCCTGCAGACTGAAGGGTCCCAGGTTCAATTCCAGTCCAGGGCACATGCCTGGGTTGCAGACTTGGTCCCCAGTGGGGGACATGCAGGAGGCTGCTGATCAATGATTCTCTCTCATCGTTGATGTTCCTCTCTTTCCCTCTCCCTTTCTCTCTTAAATCAATAAAAATATATTTAAAAACAACAACAACAAAAACCCAAAACCCTCCCATGTGAGGCTGAGTCCTCCGTGAGCTGCACTCTGCTGGCCTCTCCGACCTCACCTGGAGGCACGCCCCTCCCCCCCTGAACTTCTGTCACTTCTGGATTGCACCATGTCATCTGCCCCTCCAGGCCTTTACCATGCTGTTCCCGCTGCCTCCCCTCCCCTCCCCTCCCCTCCCCTCCCCTCCCCGCCCCTCTCCTCCCCTTCCCTCCCCTCCTATTCCTTCCTCTCCTTTCTCCCCTCCTTCCCCTCTCCCCCCCTCTCCTTCCCCCCCTCCCCTCTTATTCCCTCCTCTCCTTTCTCCTCTCCTCCCCCTCTTCTCCCCCTCTCTTTCCCCTCCCCTCCCCTCCCCTCTCCTCCCCTCCCCTCCCCTCCCCTCCTCCTCAGCCTTCCATTCTCAGCTCTAGGCCACCTGCTCCAGGCTGGGCCAAAGTACCCCTGGGACCCCCACCCCTTCACTGTCGACACCTACTGCACATCTGTCTGGTGGCTCGCTGGCCTCCTTGCTGGCCTGGGAGCCCTGGAGGGGAGGAACTCTGCCGTCTGCTCAGTGCGTGTCCGGGCACGGGGTGCTCAGTGAGGATCCGGGAGGGGCGGGGGTTACGGCAGAGAGGAGAAGCAGAGGGGAGGGAGGAGAGCTGGCCGGGAGCCCTGTGTCCCCCTGCATGAGGACCCGGCGATGCTCGGGCACCAAGAGCTGGAGCAGGCCGGAGAGCTGGTGTGAGTCTCCTCCTGCCGGTGCCCCCTGCTCCTGACCTCACCGCGCCTCGGCGTTCTCCTCCGTGAGCTGGGCCAGCGCCGCTCTGCCGGAGGGCCTGGAGGCCGACGCTGCCCCTCTCCTTATAGGTGACAGCCATGTCGGTGCGGGTGCGGTTCCTGTCCTCCGGGGACGCCGCGGCCGTGGGGGTCGTGGGCCGGAGCGCCTCCTTCGCCGGCTTCAGCAGCGCCCAGAGCCGCAGGATCGCGTGAGTCTGCCGGCGGGGCTGGGCGGGGGCTGGGCGGGGGCGGTGGGGACTTCCTCTCCCCGCTGCCAGGCCTGCAGCCCGGGGCGGAGGGAGAGGGGTGTGTGTGGGGTGTGTGTGTGTGTGTGTGTGAGTGAGTGTGTGTGTGAGTGTATGTGTGTGAGAGTGTGTGTGAGTGTGTGTGTGTGAGTGTGTGAGTGTGTGAGTGTGAGTGTGTGTGTGAGTGTATGTGTGAGTGTGTGACTGTGTGTGTGACTGTGTGTATATGTGTGTGTGTGTGTGTGTGAGTGTATGTGTGTGAGAGTGTGTGTGAGACTGTGTGACTATGTGTGTGTATGTGTGTGAGAGTGTGTGTGTGTGAGTGTGTGAATGTATGTGTGTGTGTGACTGTGTGTGTGTGTGTGTGACTGTGTGTGTGTGTTACTGTGTGTGTGTGTGTCACTGTGTGTGTATACGTGTGTGACTGTGTTTGTGTGTGTGAGTGTGTGACTGTGTATGTATATATGTCTGTGTGTGTGACTCGGTGTTGGGAGAGACCTATCAGGCCCGCCTGGCAGAGCAGGGAACTGAGGCTCAGAGGTGGAGCCGCCCAGCCCGGTCGGCCACGCGGCCGGATTGATTTGACTCGGGCCTGCACTGAGGCTGCTGGGGGTGGGGCGAGGATGCAATGTTCTTCCTGTTTGAAAAAATGGAAAACGGGGCCACTCACCCGGCTGTGACCTGGGCAGGTGAATTCACCTCTCGGAGTCTCGGTTTCATGTGTGAAACGGGGATCACACGTGTCCCTTCCTCACAGCTGTCATGAGGGCACAATGAGGTGGCCCACGGCAAGCAGCCAGCACACGCGGGCACACGCAGGCACACGCAGGCACACGCAGGCACACACGGGCACACGCGGGCACACAGCATGTGCTGTGCGGGGGTTTTTAAAGGCAGAGGAGCAGCGTCTGTGGAGACAGCCTGGTGGTGCTGACCCTCTGGGGTGAGATCTTGGTGGCTCTGCCCTGTGTCTCCCCAGGAGGTAACCCCCAGGAGGAAGATGTGTTCCTGCTTCTGGGGCCACTGCCTGCCAGGCCCCGGGCTCTGCGAGCGGCCACCTCCCCTCTCCCCTCCGGCCTCTGCACAGGCTGTGCCCGCACCCGGCACTCTTCCCAGCCAGCTTCTGCTTATCTCCCTTGGGCCTTGGCTTCAATGCCGTGTCTTGGGGGACCCCTGAGCCCCAGGCCCTCACCCTCCCATAGCTCTTCCCCTCGGTGTAGCAGGTGCACCTCAGAGCCCTGTGACGCCTGGACCCCCGGTTAGGCCCCCCAGCTCACGCACCTTGTCCCGGGTACTCAGCTCCCAGGTGTGCCTGGAAGGAGCTCATCTCAGGGTTGCAATCCTGGTGTCCCCACTGGAAGCACCCTTAGGAGTCCCTCATTCCTTCCACAAACACGTATGGAGCGCCCACGCTGGCCAGCCCCTGCCCCAGGCCCTGCCCTCCTCCCGGACAGCAAACACCAGCGAAACATCATGGAGAGAGACCCAGCTGTGCGAGGGCCGGGCAGAATTAATGTCAGAGGAGGGCCCACCCCGTCTGAGTGGAGGCCAGAGAGGAGAAAGCTGGTCACGTGCGGGCGGGCGGATGGGGTGCAGGGCCGGGGAAGCCTGTCAGGTGGAGGAAAGAGCAAGTGCAGAGGCCCCGAGGTGGGGATGCGTGCTAAGGGACAGAACGCAGGCTTGTGGCTGGCGTGTGGGGCCACAGAAAAAAACAAACAAATAAAAAAAAACCCTGCAGGAGGACATTCACAGTGTGAAGGGCTCCACGATGGGCTGCAGCCAAGGCCCAAAATGGGAAGAGGTTTGGTCAAAGTCTCAGAGGGGTGAACGCCCATGCCCCTGACCCCAGTCCGAGAGGAGCAAGTGTGGACGCCATGGAGAGGAAGGCATACAATAGGCGCTCCATAAAGGCTGCTAACAGGCTAAGTGTAAACGGACCAGGGGAAGATGCTCTTTCTTGGCTGAATGAGCCCTATCTGAGCTGCCTCTTCCTGGCTTCATCTGGGTCCCCCAGACCACGGGGTCTGTAGTCCGGGCTGCTAAGGACAGCGGTGCAGGTCCCCGCCCAGGGGGCCTCTAACCTGGGCGACCTTCCCGAGCTGTGTGCCCTGCGCGGAGCTGGTCCTCAGGAGGTCGGAGGTTGCCTTCCTGTGCTCACCCAGAGGCGCTGTCATGTGGAGGGGCCTGCAGACCGGCCCAGGGCCCCTGGATAGATTTAACCTCTGCTGTCACCATCCAGAAATTCTGTGTCCTCCTTTGCCCTGGGCCTCACAAGTTCTCTAGCCAGTCCTGCCTGCAACTCCCCTCCCGTCAGGCCTGGGGGCGCGCCGGGACCTCCGGCATCCAAGGGAACTATCCCCCCAGGCCAACGCCAGCCGCTTGCTGACCCTCCCGGGTCCCTGGGGTCAGCCCTCTGGGAGGGAGAGAACTGAGGGGATCCAACCCCGGACACTAGGGCTCAGCGGTCAGCAGCAAGGGTAAGAGGCAGGTCCTGCCATGTCTTGGAAAATGGGGCCACTCACCCGGCTTTAACCTGGGCAGGTGAGTTCACCTCTCGGAGTCTCGGTTTCCTCATGTGTGAAACGGGTATCACACATGTCCCTTCCTCACAGCTGTCATCATGAGGGCACAATGAAGTGGTCCATGGCAAGCAGCCAGCACACGTGGACACACGCGGGCACACATAGGCACACTTGGGTGCTAAGGGACAGAAAGAGGGCTGGCTGTAACCATCTTGGGGGGCTCCACCCCCTGGGGGTCCCCCCTTGGGGAGTTCTGGAGGATGCCTGGCCTCGATGGGCTCTGTGGTCCCTGAGTGGCCAATATCTGGCTTCAGGCTCTGCAGCGCCCCGGCCCTGGTGAGGAGGAAGCTGCCAGGATGATAGGGAAGAAGTGTGGCTATTTTTAGCTTCCTATTGTCCATCTCCCAGGGGCCCGGACCCTTGGCTCCGGGGCGGGACAGGCTGTACCAGGTTTCAGGCCTCACCTCTGGCCTTGTTTCCCAGGTAATTCAACCGGGCTGAGGCACAGCATTGCCACGGCTCTGGGCGCCAGCTCAGGCCCGGTAGAATAACCTTAGACGCAGGGCAGGCGAGCGGGGCCCCATGTAGATGGGGTGGGTCCATGTCCCCCATCCCTCCCCTGCTCTGGCACCTGAAACCCCTTTGACTCTGGACCGGGCTTTTAACCCCACAGTCAAAGCGTCCCTTGAAGAAGTAATCTGGTGGGGGAAGTTTATACTAAGGTGTGAATGGTTGCTATAACTAAGCCATTTATAATAAGGTGGGCGGGGGGGGGCACGTATATAATAAGCCGTACATATTAAGAAGAGGCCAGGCCCTGACACTAACAGTTAGTGCTGCTCTTCCCCCTTCCTCCTCCTCAGCCAGCCTCCCCTCCTCTAGGCTGTCAGGAGCCCCTGCAACGTCCTCACCAGCTTGGGAATTCCTCCGTGGGGTCGGCTGGGACGGCTGGGACCTGGGCGGGACAGCTCAGCAGCAGCCTGTGGTTTTCAAGGCGAGGAGCGGGAGAGGGGGCACGGAGGGGGCGCTCACGCTGTCCTGCGCGCGTGGAGCCGCAGACTTCGGGGTCTCAGAGCCTGTGCGGGAGAAATGGGCCGGCACACGGGAAGCACGCAGAGCAGTGTGACCTTTGCGAGTGCCAAGTGCGTGTGTGTCATCCTCCCCGCCCCCTGGCACGGCCGCACACGGGAGGAAGGTGGCTCCCCTGCCGTCACAGGGAGGTGCAGCTCGGGCCCGGCTGCCTGCAGAGCCTGCCAGCCACGCACCAGGGCCTCCGAGGAGGATTTCCTCAGGGCGGCGGGCAGGGCTGCCCCGGCCTCACGTGAGGGCTGGGCCGGTTGCATGAGCCCGTCTGGAATCTGGTTCGGCTGGCCAGGGGCTGTTTAATATTTACTGAGTCCGCCCCGAGCTGGCGACACATCCGCCCCAGAGGGCGCTCCCGGCCCCGGCGGCGGTGACACCGGCCAGACATGCAGCCCGGTTTCGCCATCGGAGGCTGCACGCGTCGCCCTGCCGGCCGGGCCGGCCCCCGGAGGGAGCGCAGGGCTCAGAGCGTCCCTGGGGCTCAGCCAGGCAGCCAGGGTGAGGAGGGCTGCCAGGCGGATGGAAGGGGGGCCTGGCGGAGGGTGCACGCCTGCTGGGGACGGTAGGCCCCTGGGAGCTGGCGGGTGAGCGTGGCGCCCGCCTCAAAGCTGCAGGCCCACCCGCCTGCCTGCCTGCCGCCTGCGGGGCCCCCAGCCTGCCTGGAGCCACCTCTCTGAGGCTGCAGCCCCGCCCGTCTCTGCGGCCTGGACATGGCAACTCTGTGGAGGGTCTGCTCCAAGAGGTGGGTGATGTGGCCTCAGGGTCGGGGGGAGGAGAGTGTGCACCCCGTCTTGGCCATGGAGAAGGGTCACGTGCCACAGGTGGGTATTGGCATCAGCGGGTACAGGGACGAGCACTGACTGATGTAACAGGCTCTGTGCCGGGTGCTCTGTGCACGAGCCTTGCTCAGACATCGCCTGATTGGAGGGGCCGTCCCTGCTCGTCCCACTGAAACGAATCAGCCTGCCTGTACCTTTTCCCTTGGCACTGAGCATCCTCCGATGCCGGGTTTTAAAAACGAGCTTACTTAACTTGGACACGTACACAGCACGTCTTACAAGGCACTGATTGAAGCCCTTTACATTTATTAACTCACGCAGCTCTCATCGTGACCCTTCCTCTGGTTCCCGTTTTATAGATGAGAAGACCGAGGCACAGAGAAGTTCGGTGACCTGCCCAAGGTCACACAGCGTGAAAGTGGGGGAGCTGGGTAGAGGCCCCGGGGCCTGTCTCTGGAGCGTGTCCTTGTTACCACTTTCCACCGTGTCCCCCAGCGGGCTCAGCAGCTCCCAGCGGGAGGGGTTTGTCTGTGTTGTTCACTGTTGTATGCCCACCCCCTAAAACGGTGCCTGGCGCACAACAGGTGCTCATTTAAATATTTGTTGAACGAATGACTGTCTCATAACTCTGTGGGGAAGTACTCTTATTGCCCCCCTTTGACAGATGGGAAAACTGCGGCTCCAGTTAAACACCTGGACCTCTGGGGCTGAGATATGGGCAGCTGACCAGGGACGTGAGTCCTACCACCAGGGCGAGGCCCCTGAGCGTCCAGGGCGGGATTCCAGACCCTTCTTTGCTGTAGCATCCTCCGGGGCCAGTTCCCAGCCTGCTGGGCATGGCCTACGGTCTGTCTCTCTGGCATGCTGGTTTGTAAATGCAGCCGGAGGGAAACCCTGGGTCGTGGGGCTTGGTCCCTGTCAGCAGGGTGGCCAGGACAGCGGCTCTCTGTTTGAGTCGACAGCAGGTGTCTGCATCTGAGCGTGGAATGTGCAGCATCTGGCTGGGCTGGAAAGACAGCCGGTCGCGGGCTGAGTCTCCGGGAGGCCAGGGCACGGCGTGGCCCCGTGGCCCTTCTCTTAGGCTGGTGAAGGAGCATGAGCTGTGTTCCTCTTGCCCTACCCCCCCCGCCCCCGTCCGGCTCTCCAGACCCCAACCCCCTCTCTCCCATGGACCGTGAGCCCTCGGGGGTGGGACGCTGGCACCTCACGGGGGAAAGCCCTGCTCTGTGAGTGTTTGAACGAACGAATTAGTCCTGAGCCCCGATTTTAGACCTTAAAATGCAGCAGACGGCGAAGGCTCCCAGGGGGACATGGAGTCAGGGTTCTATTATAGCAAAGGATGTCTCCCCAGTGAAGCAGAAGCAGTGATCCCCTAGGATTGAGCTCCTCAAAGTGCGATCCGTGGACCGACTGGCCGGCAGCATCAGAAACACATGAAAATGCAAATCCTCAGGCCCAGACTGTTAAACGGAAACTCGGGGGTGAGGGGAGGGAACGGGGGAGGGCTGTCAGCAGCCTGAGCCTCGGCCCTCCGGGGGATTCTGAGGACCCTGAGAACCCGGGTCCCGCCCCCAGCTGTGAGGGTCAGAGCCCAGGCAGACACTCTGCATGCATGTGGGTTTGGGTCCCAGCTCTGTGGCAGAGTTATTGGCCGGACGTGGTTCCCATGCCTCTCCCCGGGCCAGGGGAGTGAAATACATTGGCTAACCCAGGCGTAGGGCATGGGCTTGTCTGCGAATGCCCGTGTATGCATGTTTATGTGCATGTGTGTATACGCATATGCGTGTGCTGATTTGTCAGGCCACGGGCTGGGGAGGTTACCCAAAGGAAAGTGAAGCTGGATGGACGCCGGGCAGGCAAAGCCCATGGGTGCCCACCCATGGGTGCACCACCACAGCACTAGGAGTTGGCCTCCCACGCTGCTTTGCCTGCACGGATGAAGCGTGCTGAACAGAGCCCGGCGTTTGGGCTGCTTGATGGTACTAGCGTTTCTCACTGTCAATGCCTCCTGTCAGGTTATTACGGGTAGTAGTATTCTTTTAATCCTAAAACCCCAAACTCCATTTTACAGACGAGGAGACGTAGGCCCAGAGCGTCTTAGCAACTTCTTCCTGCGACCACGCAGCTCGGCGGAGGGAGCGGACTCCGCTCTGGCCGCGGTTCCCAAAGTGCCTGCCCCTGGGAAAGGCTTTGTCCAGACTCCGACTCTGACACCCCCCTCCCCCCACCCCGATTTCTTCTCACAGGAAGTCCATCCAGAGGAACTCGGTGAGGTCTCGCATCCCTGCCAAACCCCCCAAGATGTACGGCACGCTGCGGAAGGGGCCCGTGTGCCCGGACTCCAAGACACAGCAAGTGCGGAGGATCTTCGAGGCGCTGAGGAGAGGCCTCAAGTAAGGGCAGGCGTGTGTGGCCCTCAGACACCGGCTCTTCGGCCTTCTGCCTGCTCGCTCCCCTCTGCCTCTCCCTGCGGAGCAGGGTCAGCTCTTGTCTGTAAGAGGCCACAGAGGGGGCTCCTGGTTATTCATGCAGACGAGGAGCAACATTCCCGGGATCCCAGGGCCAGGGAGCAGGGAGTGGGCCTCCAGGCCACCCAGCGGGCCTCCCATGCTGTCCTCCCAGGATGCACCGGTGCTGGTGCAGTGGGAGCTGGGGCCGTGCTGGAGCGGGGAGGCCTGTCTCCAGGGCGCTCACCTTCCAGGACTGCCTGTTTGAGACGGGTCTGGGGTCCAGAGCATCCGTGTCCGGCCTCTGCGTGAGCAGCGCCTGCAGATGGTAGTGTGACGGGCGGCTCTCTGAGGGAGCCCCACCCCAGCTCCCAAGGCCAAACATCAGCTTTCCTGTCCGGGCCCTTGAGATGCCTCTCCAGGACCGGCTTTCCCCATGTGTTTCCCTGGCCCCTCTCCAGGGCTTGGCCTCGGGCACGCAGACAGCAGGGCGGCCGCCCTTGTCAGCGAGGGAGGCGTGCTCTCCCCCACCTCCCCTGGGCCTGGGGGGGAGACACTGTCCTGGGAGTGATGTCTCATTTCCGACCTGGGCTCTGCCTTTCCCCCGCTGTTACCTGCAGTCTCTGAGGGTGTTTGCCCGTCTCTAAGATGGGGTTAACCAGAGTAGACCCTGTCTGTGGGGTTGTTTGGGAGATGCTCCCCGTATTTCCCAGTGACTGTGTGTGGGATCTGGAGGCCCGGCGGGTGGGGCCCTGTTTCTGGGGGTGGGGTGTTGGGGTGGCTCTGCCCTCTGCCCTCTGCCCTCTGCCCTCTGCCCTCGGAGCCTGCTGAGAGAACCACAGCTGTCTCCACGTGGCAGCTGTGGCTGCCTGCACTGCGGGACACCGGTCATCAGCCTGTTTCTTTTTCTTCTCTGTTCCTTTTCCAACTCCTTTTCCTGGTCTTCCTTGCAGGGAGCACCTGTGCGTCCAGCAGGCCGAGCTGGACTACCTGTCAGGACGCCACAAGGACACCCACAGGAATTCCAGGCTGGTGAGACCCCTGTCCCACCTCCCCGCTGGGACAGCCTTGCCTGGGGTTCAAAGATGGGCCCTCCCTCACCCCCTTGCCTGGACCGTGGGTGCAAATCTGGGGAATTCAGAGCCCCGAGGAATGGACTTGCTCCACGGTGGAAAGCGCCCCCTCCCAGCCCAACATGGTGCAGAGGTCATGCCTCTGAGGACCCACCTCCATTCTCTCTGTGGTTCTAGCGGTAGCGAGGGCAGTGGGTGTGCAGAGGCACGCGTGTTATAGGTCCCGTCTTACAGGCCTGGGCCGTCTGGGCACCCTGTGATCAGGAGGCTTATGTGATGCCAAAAAATTGGGTCAGGCATCGCCTCACGGTCTGTCACAGGCCCCAGTGCCGTCCTCCGGTCCAGGCCTCTGTGGTTTTGGCCACGTTGAGGGCTGCAGCTTACAGGTTGCCCAGGACTCATCTGCTCGGGGCTCTTGCTACCATTTCCCCCCTTAGCAGAGTCAGATAGAAACACACACACACACACACTCAAGAGAAAAAAAATAGTGTCCCAGTTAAATAGCATTTTTAGATAATCATCAAATAATTTTTCAGTGGAAGTATGTCCTGTGCATCTTTGAGACATACTTATACTTAAAAAAATTATTCATTCTTTATTGGAACCGTAAATGTCACTGGGTATTTGATATTTTACTTCTCACTGGAGGATATTTTTTCCATTCATTTTAGAGAGAGTAGAAGGGAAGGAGGGAGAGGAAGAAGAAAGAGAGAGAGAGAGAGAGAGAGAGAGAGAGAGAGAGAGAGAAACATCCATGTGAGAGAACCATATCAATTGGTTGCCTCCCTCTCCCCCCTCCCCACTGAGATGAGAAACCTGCACCTAGGTACATGCCCTTGACTGGAATCCAGAATTGAACCCAACCCAGGGTTCGAAGGCTAATGTTCTAACCACTGAGGACACCAAGGAGGGCTGGTGTTCCATATTTTCTCTGCTCCCACTGTCAGGCTCCACCTCTGAGGACCACCCTCCTCCCAGCGGGAGGCTCTTCCTTTCCGGTCTTGGGAAATCCCCACCCCCACGTCTCCACCCCACCCTCCATCCTAATGGGATTAGGAAGGACAGCCCAGAGGCCTCGCTGCCTGTGGCTCCTCCGCCCTGCCAGCTGCTTCCCAGCCTCCCTGCTGCGCGGCCAAAGCCCAGAGCCAGGGCTGGGGAACCGGAGGGGGAGGCGAATCTTTCTATCAGTGGCCCCTCTGCATCCCGGCTCCAGCTCAGCAGACCTCGGGGGCCGGCAGTGTGCCAGCCCCCGTGGGAGGGAAAGATGGCAGCTCAGCCGGGCCTTGCCCCTGGGGGGCGGGCAGGCCACGCAGATGGAGGAAGGAGCATTAGCAAGACCTCAGCCCTTCCCAGCCCCCACTGCACGCCTCTCACATGGAGGCAGAGCTTTGCCCACCCCGATGTCCTCATCCTTTCATGGGTGACACCTGGCCCCTAGCGTGGATGGACCAGTCTGGGTTTGCCATTTCCTAAGACCCGAACTGGTGGTGCCGGCTGCCTCTCCCCATCCCAGTCCTTCGGATCCTGGCTGAGTTACCCCTTAAATAGTCAGATCGCCAGGGGCCATGGTCCCCACTTTCTTGAGTGCTTGCTGTGTCTTTCACTCTTCTCAGCAACCCTCGGGGCAAGGTGCGCTGGCTAGCCCACTGTATGTGAGGAAACAGAGGTGCCGAGAGGTTGAGTAACTGCCCGGGACAGAGCAGGGACACAGAGCCCGGCTTAGACCTGCCTCATCCAGAGCACACGAGTCCAGTCCCTCTTCTTCCTCCGCCTGCACCACGGCCTCTGGGGGTGGCGTGACTGCTGGCTTTCTGTCCTCGGAGCTCAGGCGCCCCTGGGATGTAGCCTCCTGGGTCTTGGGGGGGCGGGCATCCAGAGTCCTGACACCTTTCCCCTCCCTTATTTCTCCCCCACAGGCTTTCTATTACGACCTTGACAAGGTGAGTGACCTGCCTCCGTCAGCATGGGGTGGGCAGGCGGCCACGGCCGGGCCTGGCTGGGTGAGCACAGTGTCTTTGCTCCTCCGGTTCCGTCCTATGGTCATCCTCCAGGAGAAGTACCCAGGGTCCTCCCCATTTTACAAACGGGGAAACCGAGGCCCGGTGAGGAGCCTTCCTGGAGGGAGGTGAGGGGCTGGCCTGGCTTCGAGCCCAGGCATCCGTGTCAGGGCCTGCAGGGGGGTGGAGATGAGAAACCTGCACCTAGGTACACGCCCTAGGTGGTCCAGGCTGCGTTTAAAAGCACCTTCTCTTTCCCCGGGAGAAGCAAACACGCTCTGTGGAGAGGCTCATCCGGAAGATGGAATTTCACATCAGCAAGGTCAGCGGGGGGCCCCGTGTCCCAGGGTGCGGTCGGGTGGTCTGTCCTTGCTGGGCTCCACCAGAGAGCAGGAGCCAGGAGGCCCTCCGAGCGGGGCGGGCGCTCTGGGTGCTGAGGCCAGAGCATCGGGGCAGCAGGAACGGCAGGCGCTGGGCCCGGGAAGACCTTGTGCTTCATCGGAGAGGCTGGGAAGGCTGGGACCGAGCGCCCGCTATGGAGACGGGAGAGGGGACGCTCAGAGAGGGACAAGGGTTGCTTTAGGTCTCAGCAAGTCCCATAGAGTCTGAAGTCCCTGAATTCGTCCATGATCTTGCTTTACCCGCCCCCCGCCCTCTCCTCCCCGCAGTAGCCCAGTGGGTAGGCAGACTATCACCTCCCTGCTTGCTGTGGAGAACTTGGGCGGGAGAGGGAGGGCTGCACTACCTGTCCAGGTCACTCCTTTCCGTGTGCACCGACTGCCCGCCGGCCACTGCGGAGGCCGGGACAGAAGCGGAGGAGACAGGCGGGGTTCCTGTCCCTGTGGGAGCTGTGGGAGCCAGGGCAAGTGCAGCGCGTGGCCACCATCGGGGGGTGGAGGAGGGGGGATTCACTCAGGGGCAGCCTCTCCCAGGGGTGAGAGTGATCGGCAGGCCCGGGCCCCAGCCCTCGGCGTGGCAGCACCCACCGGCCCGTGCCCCCGCAGGTGGACGAGCTGTACGAGGGCTACTGCATCCAGTGCCGCCTGCGGGACGGCGCCTCCAACATGCAGCAGGCCTTCTCCCGCTGCCCGCCCAGCCGCGCCTCCCGGGAGAGCCTGCAGGAGCTGGGCCGGAGCCTGCAGGAGTGCACCGAGGTGGGCCGCCAGCAGGGGCGCCAGGGGGCAGTGGGGGCCGGGCCCAGCATTAGGGGGTGCCCTGGGCCCTGAGGAAGCTCTGCCCACCAGCCTCTGTCTGGCAGGGTTGGTGTGTGCCCCTCCTCCGTGCCCTCTACCCTCCCTCCCCCTCCCACCCACTCCTCTCACCCCACCGGGCCGGCCCAGCCTCGGGGCAGTGCTGAGCCATCCCGTGGGGCTTTGCAGGACATGTGGCTCATCGAGGGGGCCCTGGAAGTCCACTTGGGCGAGTTCCACGTCAGGATGAAGGGTAACGGGGCGGAGGGGGTGGGCAGCGGCTGCTCTGAGTGGGTGTCGGGCTTCTGGAGGGCCCTGGGACTTGTGCCAAGGGTGGGCTGTGGGTCGGAATCCAGGGGTCCTCGCCCAGCCCTGGGCTTGCGCTCCTGTGACATGTGACCTCAGGCAGGGCCCGCCCCGATCTGAGTTGGATGTGAGGGTCCAGGCCTGTCCACTGTCCATCGCGATGGCTCGTCTCTGAGTCCGATTCCCAGGCTCAGGCGGGGCCCACGGGGCGGGGGCAGAGGAGGACAGAGCTCAGCCGTCTCTGTGTTCCAGGCTTGGTGGGCTACGCACGCCTCTGTCCAGGAGACCAGTACGAGGTATGGCCACGCTCCCGCGTTCCTGCCAGGCCTTGGGGTCCCAGGGCCCCACCTGGCAGGGAGGGCCCCCAGGCTGGTGGCGAGTGGGGGCATCCACCTGGGGCAGCTGACCCACCCCTTCGTGGCCCCCGCCCTCAGGTGCTCATGCGCCTGGGCCGCCAGCGCTGGAAGCTGAAGGGCCGAATCGAGTCTGACGACAGTCAGACCTGGGACGAAGAGGAGAAGGCCTTCATCCCCACTCTGCACGAGAACTTGGAGATCAAGGTGGGCGGGGCCTGGGGCAGGGGCAGGGGCAGGGCCAGGGCCTGCGGAGGCTCAGCTCAGACACCACCCACCCCTCCTCACCCCCAGGTGACAGAGCTGCGTGGCCTGAGCTCCCTGGCGGTGGGCACGGTGACGTGTGACATCACCGACTTCTTCACGACCCGGCCGCAGCTCATCGTAGTGGACATCACGGAACTGGGCACCATCAAGCTGCAGCTGGAGGTGCTGTGGAAGTGAGTAGGGGCCAGCCTGCTCCCTGCCCTGCTGCCCCTCCCCGGGGCCAGCCCCAAATTCCCACCTGGAGGGATGCCCACCCAGAGTCTGAGCCCTGTGGGTCTCACTGGCTCCCCCTGGTGGCCTGACCACACTCTAGCATCCACTCGTGGGCATTTCTGCCAGCGTCTCCCACGAGGTGCCCACAGGGCCGGAGTCACTGACCTGGTGGTCAGGCTGGGCTCCAGGCACCTCTAGCCAGGCCTTTGTGCAAGCGAGAGCCAGCAGGTCGCTTTGGGCTGGGAGGCTGTACCCAGACCTCCCTGCTCCAGAGGCCTCAGCCTTACTGGGACTGGGACTGGCCCAGAGGTCCTTCTGGGATGGTGCCCTGCACAGATGAGGGATCCATTCACGTGACTGGTGGCGTCACCGCCCCTTGGCATCTGAGAGATGGTTAAGGAAGTTGAGAATGTGGACTGGAGCCCCCGGGCTTCCCCTGGGATCCCAGGCAAGGCCTCCATCTCCCTTCGGTGCCCGGGCCCTGGACGGGCTTGTGTGTCCCCCAGGCGTCAGTGACACCCTGGCGCTCTCTCCCCTCCAGCCCGTTCGATACCGAGAGCTTCCTGGTGTCACCCAGCCCCACAATCAAGTTCTCCGTGGGCAGCAGGAAGAGCTCCCTGTACAGCTGGACGCCCCCGAGCACCCCCAGCTTCCGGGAGAGGTACTACCTGGTGAGTGGCCTCGCCGGGCGGGGCCGCGGGGGTCTCGCTGGGGCTGGGGGCGGGTGACTTCCGGGCAGTATGTGGGACGGGGCTGGGCGGCCGGGCACCTCTCGGCGTAGCACGCTTTGGGTCCAGCCTCCCTTGCTTTGGGTTTCTGGGTGTTTTCTGTACTTTTTCTTCCTTGATGCTGGCCCCTTTATTTTGGGGGTGCTGTTTGACTTGGTTGGCTCTCCTGGACACCTGGAGTAAGGTTTCCTAGTTGGTTCTGTCACCCTGGCCATGGCCGTGGCTTCCGATTTATTTGTTTCCGACAGAATGTGTTTCCGGTCAGTAATACCTTGACATAACACACAGTAAAGCATCTCTTCCCTCTGACCTCCAGGGATCTTAGGGTCGTAGTCCACTTCTTCACACCCTTCTAGAGACACTCCATACCGGCTCTTTGGCCCCTTGAGTGTGGCTCTTCCACAAAATACCACGGCCTGGGCGAGTCTGTTTGGAAGAAGTGGTGTTAGAAGAAGTTTTGTTTTTTTTTTAAAAAATGTGGCTCTCAAAAGAAATTTCAATAATTGTACTGTTTGATATTTGGCTCTGTTGCCGACCACTGCTCTTTATCATCTGGGAGCAGGCGCGTCTTTTCCTCCATCTTTTAGCCCAAAGCTGCCTTTTTAACCTGGTAATGCTTTCGGAGACTGGAGGAGTGAGGGAGGAAGGAGGCAGGGGTCCGAGGCCCTCTGAGCAAGGCGGCTGTTCCTGTGCAGTGAGCACTCACGTGCATTGTATGTCAGGTCCTTCCTCCCGCCATGCATTTCGCTCATTCAAAACCACACGCCAGGCCCTTGTGCAGGCGGGTGAGGACTGTGCCCTCAGGGAGCACTGCCTGCCTGGGGGGCAGAAAGACCTCAAGAAGTAAAGCAGAACACTCTTTGGCAGGAAGCACAGTCAGTGCAAAGGCCCTGAGGTGGGAATGTGTGAGTGAACCTGGAGAGAGTGAGAACCAGCAAGGAGGCTTCTGCGGCTTGGAAGGCGTGAGTGAGAGAGGATGAGGGGTGAGAGCAGAGAGGGAGCTGGGTGCTACCAGCACCTCTGAGTCAGCGTGGGGGACCTCCGTCACCCGGAGGATGTGGGTGTGCAGAGCCAGTGTCTGGCAGGGGAGCCCGTCCGGGGGCCTTGCTGTGGGGCCCGGGGCGGCCAGTGAGGCTGGTCCTGTGTCCCCCTCTCCAGTCCGTCCTGCAGCAGCCGGCGCAGCAGGCCTTGCTGCTGGGCAGTCCCAGGGCCACCTCCATCCTCAGCTACCTGTCGGACGGCGACCTGCGGGGCCCCGGCCTGTGCCGCCGGAGCCAGGAGCTGCCGGAGATGGACTCCTTCAGCTCGGAGGACCCCCGAGACACCGAGACCAGCACGTCGGCATCCACCTTGGACGTGGGGTTCCTGCCCTTGGCCATCGGCCCCAACACCTCCACGGAAGAGGAGGCTCAGGAGGACTCCCCGCCCCTGGGCCTCCTGCCGGAGATGGTCCCCCTGTCTGGAGGCACACTGGTGGAGCGGCCTGGCTGGAGGAACCTGGGGGTAGAGAGCCCCAATCTGCCCGGGGGCGCCCCACTCCACAACCACACGATGCCGGGCGGCCAGAAAGACCACGATGCAGGAGAACCCGGGGACGGAGTGGATGGGCCTGGGGTGGCCCTCGAGAGGCCCCTGCAGGAGGTGCTGGATTTGCTGAGGTGCACAGCCCCCGCCCAGCCCCGGCTCCAGGAGCTGGAGTACCAGGTCCTCAGCGTCAGGGACCGGCTGAAGGTATGTCCGCTCTTCGGAGGCCACAGCCCTGCGCTGCCCAGGGTGTCACCCCCAGTACAGGCTCCGGGGCAGCCGCTCTCACCTCTGATCGCCAGAGGGTAGGCAGGTCTCCTCTCCGGGCCTCGGTTTGCTGGTCTGTGAAGTGGGGATTACAAGAGCCTCATGGGGCTGGAAGGAGGGTTGGGAGGAAGTTGGGGCTCAGAGTGAATAACTTGCTTCACATCCAGCCAGAACCCAGCCCCCTCTCACATCTTCTGACCCGAGCAGGTGAGGCGGCAGCTCGACACTAAAATCCCAGACCTGGGGCATTCTCCTGGCCGGGGCTGGCACCACGGACAGTCCCCAGCAAACCCCCCCCCCCCCCCAAACCTCTCTACGGGGCCACACCAGGGCTGTTCTTGCGTGGCTCTCAGAGGTGCTGGTCTGGGCAGACTCTACGATTTGGGGGGCTTATATAAATTTGACTATAAGTAAAATAAAATGCATCACATCAGCACCCACTTACACATCAATTAATTTATGAAAACACACACTGGCGCTGAAGCAGCTTAACGGCTCCCCACAAAAACCCGTTTTGTTTTATTCCTTCCCCACCCGCCCCCCCAACATTACACATCAGTGCAGGGGAAAGAAAGGTGGATTTTCTATCTGGTAACTTTAAAAACTGTTCACTATTTACCACTGCTATGGGCCTCCCTGAAGATTTCAAGGAAAATAAAGAAGAAAAAGAATGTTTTTTTTTTCAGTTTCTTAACAGCATTTTTTTTTTTTGTAGAACAGCTCGTGGGGGGCAACCTGTCACCTGAAATTTGAAAAATTATACTTCACACAAACATCTTAAAATCATACTGCATCAGGCAATAATTGTAAACATCTTGAGGAACTCTTTTTTTTTTTTTTTTTTTTTTTTGGCAAACCAAGTGAGAAGAATGAAAATGACTACAGACTATGGTTTTTAGGTTGACTTTTTAAAGAGAAATTATACACGCATGTATGTGTGTATACAGGTGTGTGTGCTTATATATGTACTCATTATTCATGGATTCTCTTTTTGTGAATTCATTTACTTGCAAAAATGTATTCATAGCCCAAATCAATACTCATGGTTCTGTCAGGCTCCGAGCGACAGAAACATTGAGTCCCTGATGTTAGCTCCCTCACTGACGGTGTGTCCCCTTTGTAGTCTATTTAGTGCCATGTGTTTGTTTTTTTTTCTATTTTTGTGCTTTTTTGGTGACTGTGCTATTTTAAAGGCCCCCAGGGCAGGGCTGAAGTGCGGGTTGGTGTCCTGAGCTCGGAGGGCAGGGATGTGCCTTCCGGAGAACGTACGTGGGTTAGGCGTGAGTTTCAAGCATTTGGCTTAAATTCATTTAGGAATAAACAACACCTACGAAGTTAGGTGTCTTTAAACAGAAACACACATAACAAGGTTACTTCCTGGCCGCTGGCGAAAACGTGACCAGGGGCTCGAAGTTTCTGCATCTCCCCGAGGAGCAGGGTTCCAGAGCATAAGCCAGGGGTCCAGGCCACCGGAGACCGAGAATCGCACGCGTGCTCAGACCTGCCACCAGGCGGCTCTGAGGATGGAGAGGGGCAGGCCTCCCACGTGCACCCTGACCCCTCCATCCGCGCTGCCTCCAGCTTCCTCTCCTTCCCCATCTCCCTGCACTGGCCTCCCGAGGAGGTGTCTGGCCTGACTCACACCACATTTTAAAACTAATTTGAAATGAGTTGTCAATATTTTTAAATGGGGCAGCTTCCCACAAAATCCCGCTCTCATTAGAAACCTGAATGGTCTGGGGACACTGGCCCCACGGTCCGAAGTGGCAGGTGCCAGCTGGAGAGGGCACCCCTTGCCTCTCCGGGGAGGGCACCTCTCCTACTTTGCCTGGTCCCCCACTCCCTCCCTCCTGGCTCTTGCCCTGTTCCCGTGGGCGTCTGTGCCCGGTGAGATTTAAGGTCTGTCTCCCTGGAGCTTTTGCACCATATGTGTCACATGCCACTCCGGAGGGTGCTTGGGGAGCGCTGTGCCCCTGTGCCCGTCGCCCACCTGGGGGCGCTGTGAGGGTGGGGGTGCGAGATGAGGTGCGTGGGGAAGGCTGCCCGAGGTCTTGCTCCGTCCACAGCCCCGCGGAGGCCGCCGGGAGCACAGCTCGGCCGAGAGCCTGATGGAGTGCATCCTGGAGAGCTTCGCCTTCCTCAACGCTGACTTTGCCCCCCACGAGCTGTCCCTCTTTGGGGGTCCCCAGGGTCCCCGGTGAGTGCTCCCGCCAGCACTGACCAGGGGACCAGCCTTAGCCCCTTCCTTCCTTCCTACCAGCCTCCCGCTGTGTCTCCCACTGCCCGACGGGTATTTATTCTGATTGCTTACTGTGCTCCCCCTGCTACGCCCTCACGCCCACCGCCTGATACAGAGCAGGCCCCCAGGGACCGGAGTGGGGGGGAGCAGCTCAGCCTAGCCCTGAGCTCTCTCTTCCGGGCAATGGATTCTTTTGAACCTTAAAACACGACGGAGGTCACAGTAGAGCTTCTAACCTTGACCTGACACGCAGCAGTCACTGCCTCCGACCCCTCTGCACAGCCATCCACCCTCAGCCCCACAGCTCCCTGGTCTCCCCGTCAGAGCTCTCCAGGGAGGGGGTCCCTCTGCCCTAACCAGATGGTCACCCCGCTCTCCACTCAACCCAGAAAGGACAGGACCCGGCCCCCACCACCGTCCCTGAGAGAGTCCTCCCGGGAGCTCACGGCCGGTGCCCCCGAGCTGGACACGCTGCTCACCGTCCACCTGCACGTCTGCAAGGCTCTGCTGCAGGTGCTGAGGGGCCTGGCTCGGGTGTGTGTGTGTGTGTGTGTGTGTGGAGAGAGGGGGGGACTGGCCAGGGGCCCAGGGGGGTTGGAGTTCTCTGCAAAAGGCTGACCTCCCAGGCGGCAGGGAGCACGGTGCAGGGGCCAGAGGCTCGCACCTTGAGAGCCACTGAGATTGAGGCGGTTCCCCTCGGGAAGCCAGGCCTGGATGGAGCCGCGTGGTTCTTCCGCAGCCCAGCCCTGCATCAAAGGCGGTGGCTGCGACGCCTTCGGTCGTAGAAGCCAGAACTAAGGTGGGCTTCAGGCCCGGCTGGATCCAGGGTTTCAGATGCCATTTTGGCTGGGCCCCTCCCTTTCTCGGTGCTGCTTTCCTGGGCGGGTGGCTTTGCTTTCAGGCAAAGCAGGTCCCTTCTGGCGGCGAAGGCAGCCCGGGGCGGCTCCAGCCTGGGCCCGGTGTCTCAGCCACCCTGGTGAGGGCGGACTCCCAGGTGGCAGCCACGGAGCCTCCACAGGGACAGGAGGGATGGGCCCGGGGAAGGCGAGGGCCACAGTCGTGACGGCTGACCTCAGAGGGCGGGTCCGTGCTAACTGGGAGCATGTGGGCTGCTTCCCAGAAACTGGCCTCCCCTAACCTGTCGAGGATGGTCCAGGAGAGCCTTCTGGAAGAAGCTGCACAGCAAAAGCAGGTCCTGGAGACCCTGTCTCTGCTGGATTTTGAGAAGGTCAGAGAGGCGACGTCTGTGGAGGAGAGTAAGTAACTGCCCACACTGGCTGCTCCTGTGAATGGCACAAAGCTCCTCTCCCTTCCCGATGCCCCGAGTTAACCGGCGCCCGGGGGGCCGCTGGCCTGGGCTCAGAGCCCCTGTGCGGGCGGGAAGGGAGGCCACACAGCCTCGGAGGAAGAGGCACCTGCTCTGTGGTCAGCGGTGTGACTCTGGGCCTCGGAGCCTCAGCGTCCCCATCTGGGCAATGGGCCCATGAAGGAATCCACGCTCCAGGCACACAGCGTGCGCTCACATAACCAGCCACAGCCTCTGCCCCGGGGTCTCCTCTTGTCCACAAGGACAGGCTGGTGACCGCAGGCGCCCCCCGGGCTGCAGTGAGGACTGTGGGTGGGGAGCCGGTGAGGTGCTCAGAGCTGAAGCTGCCTGTCCTCTCTCTGGCACCGTGGAGCGTGGGGAAAGGTCACTGCAGGTCACCGCTCAGCTCCCGACCTCCGGTCCCCCGTGGAGGGAAACCTTTGGGGCCTGTGCGCAGTCGGTCTGAGCCCAGGCTCTCAGTCCTCCCGCAGGCCGCAAGGAGGAAGGGCTGCCTGAAGCTGTGGCAGGGGTGCACGGAGCCCGGCGGGGTCCTGGCCTGCCCCGCCACCACGCTCCTGAGCCAGCTCAAGAAAACGTTCCTGAACAGAGTCAGGGGGAAGTACCCGGGACAGCTGGAAATAGGTAACTCCCTGTCCCCCTCCTCCCACCCCCCATCCCCCTCCTCACGTCCGGCTTCAGTGATGTCACAGCGAGCCTCCCCGCCTGTCCCCGAGTGCCTTCATGGCACCAAGCGTGACAGGACTGCAAACACCTCCTCCTTCAGGGAGCGGGAGGGGCCTGTGACCTGCAGACATTAGTGGGCTGGGCCTTTTCCTGGGGCAGATCCCATGGCTTCCACAAGAACCTTGAAGGGCTAAGAAAGAACCTTCATGGGAGGCAGGTGAGCCTTTATCTCCCCGCAGGGTGGGCTCAGAAGGCAGAGCATTTCCTGCTCACAGCTGGAGGGGGCACTCATGCTCCAGAAGCTGGCTGGCTGTCAGCAGCTCTGACCACCACCCAGGCTGCTCAGTGGCCTGCAGAGTCCCAGCCCTGGCCCCAGTCATGTGGAGGTGCCCCCGAGACCGCCCAAGCCCGGGCCTGCGACCCCACCTGGAGCACCCTCCTTCCCCGGGCACAGGCGGTGTGAGGAGGGACCCCCACCCACACGCCCTCAGGATGCCTGTAGGCTGACCTGGCCCCGCCAGCTAAGCAGCTCCTGGGGGCGAGGTCTGTGTCTCCCAGCCCCGTCCCCCATCTCCCTGCCAGCGTGCCGCAGGCTCCTGGAGCAGGTGGTCAGCTGCGGCGGGCTGCTCCCCGGAACCGGCCCCCCCGAAGAACAGACTGTCACCTGGTTCCAGTTTCACAGCTACCTGCAGAGGCAGGGTGTCTTGGACCTGGAGAAGCACTTTGCCCAGCTCACCAAGGAAGGTAGGGGCTTGGGAGCGCGGCCACAGGCAACAGCAAAGGGACTCCCTTCAGTGGAGGCCTCGGTCCCAGCTCCAGGAAGCTAGCTTTGCACCTTTCTGCTCCAGCTGTTCTTTTAAGAACCCCAATTTAATGAAACCCCACCCAGCCCCCGGGAAGAGATTAGCTCTAGGGGAAGAAGGCTGTTCTCAGAACAGAGCAGAAGCCATAGCTGGGCATGAGGCTCCGCTGGCCTGCGACCCTGAAGTCTGGGCTGGGGCTGTGTCAGTCTTCAGGGGGGGACTTGATCCCTTGCTAGGATGCCTTCCTAGAGATTCCAGGAGGCCCCGCGGAAGCCAGTCCAGATGGGCCTTGGTGACCACATGGGCCTGATGTGGGATTTGCTTCTCCGTGGCTAATGCCATGGCCAAACGAACCCGCAGCTGGGCAGCCCGGCCACCACCGCAGGGGACCCGGGCTCACTTCTCCCGTCTCTTCCAGTGACCCTCGTGGAGGAGCTGCAGTGCACGGGGCAGGCCAAGGCGGTCAGGAAGCTGGAGGGGAAGCGGCTGGCCCAGCTCCAGCCCCTGCCCCAGACCCTAAGGGCCTGGGCCCTGCTGCAGCTGGACGGGCCTCCGAAGGTGTGCAGGGCGGCCAGCGCGTCTCTGGCCAGCGCCGCCAAGAACAAGAGCTTCCGGGAAAAGGTATGTCTGAGGGGAGGTGCAGCCTCCTGGCTGCAGGTGTGGGGAGGGGGAGGGAGGCTTTCTCTCTCGGAAAAGACCAAGGTGTGTGTGACCGGGGCCGCACTTGCCGCACGGTATTTGGGTTTAGGGATGCTCCAAACGTGAACACGGCTCTCCTCATGCCATCGCCATCGGCAGCACCAGCCCTGGGAGGAACCACACGCCACACATCTCCCTCACCTCAGTGTTCCTAAAGCGACATCATCTATTTGGTCTTTGACATGTCACTTGCCTGTTTCTTGGAATTCCAGTGGTCACCTTCATTTACCTGCAATGAATGTGTCGATGGTTGGTAGGGTTCAGTCCATTTTTTGAAAACCAAGAAATTGGACCCCCTGTGCCTTTTAGGTTCCTGGACCTGTGACTATTCTAGATTTTAGTTATCAGCCCCCAAGGAGGGCAATATTGGGGCCTCACTTTAATCTCGGGCTCGCTGAGGGCCAGGCACATCCCCAAGTGCTTACAACAATTGTGTGAAGCAAGTGCCAACTTTATTTTCCAGAGGAAGTGACTTGGCCATGGTCACTTGACCAAGGGGGGGGGGCGGGAGCAGAGCTGTGACTGGAAGAGGGTGAAGGGGCGATGCTTTTCCGTCAGTGTGTTCAGTTCTCTTGTCCGCCTAAACATCCGATCCTGAGTTAGCATTTCCTCGAGATAGCAGTTCCAGAAAGCATTTGGTAGACATTAGACAAAAAGAGCTTTATTCATTCTGTCACCACCAGACCAGTGTTTTTAGGGAGAAGCTCAGTACAGTAGTATCCATCTCGGGACTTTGCACCTGGCCTGACGGTTAATGGATCATGGCCTGACTTACTGTCAGCAATTGGAGGACCAGCTGTGGGCGCCCTCCCCCCCTCCCTCACAGCAGCCTTATTCCCCAGGCTCTGCTTTTCTACACCAACGCCCTGACGGAGGACGATGCAAAGCTCCAGCAGGCGGCATGCATGGCACTGAAACATCTCAGGGTGAGTCCAACCTGTCCTCATGGGGATGGAGAAGGCTGCTTGTGCTCAACTTAGTTCAAAACTTTCCCATCAGGACAAGATAATAATAATAAAAAAAAATCACTGCTTACAACCACCGCACAAAAGGGAGCTGCAGAGCTGGCCTGAGAGGAGCAGCTGCAGCGGCAGCCCCGCCAGCTCTGAGCATTTGCTTTGCCTCTGATGACGCGCAGGCGGCTCCAGGAATTCACTTCTGAACTCCCGCATCAGATGCTTTAATATCCTCAATGAAAAACTTCTAAAAGCTCACGGTAGAGGAAAAAAGAGTGTACAACACATATGTAAACTATCCATCATCCTAACAGAGGAAACTACTGACATTTTGGTGTTATTTCCTTTTTGCTTGTGGGTATGTGTGGGCACTGAAAATTGGTAATATGGTCTAAAAACTGAACAAAATAACTTTTCGTGTTAAGACTGGTAATGCCTTGGAATTTTTTATAAAGGACCCATCGAAGTTACACCTTAATTTAATCTACTCCTCTATTCTTATTGTAGAAAAAAGTAGGTTCATTATCCATTTATTATAATGTCATTATAAGCATTTTTGTGCATCAAGCTTCAACCTCATTGCATCTAGAATTCTCATTTAAATGGCAATTTACTAGGTGAAAAACAGTCCCGCACAGATTAAACACCCCATTCACTCTGGAATGGTTTGGCTGTAATCAAATAGCCAGTCAGAGTATCCAGTAAAGGGCGAGGTGCACTCTGTTCCTTGGCCCTGGCGTCAGGGTCCTGATTGCCCTTCTCCTAGTCTGACCTGGAGGGAATGGTTGGGAGACCAGGTTGGAGGTAGAAAGGTCCAGAGGGCATCAGGTCTTCACATTTCCAAGGTGGGCCTGCCAGCTGTCCACACATCATGCTAGCGGTCTACTTGCTGGCAGGGGTCAGGACTGAGAAATGAGACCCTTGCAATGGTGCTTCCCATGAACCGGAGGCCGTAAGAGCAGCTCAGAGCCTTCAGAAAAGGAATCGGGCCGACCAAGCGAGGGCTGGCCCTGCAGGCTTCCACAAACAGATTCTACCTGCTACCTAAAATGTCTCCCAACGGTCCTGCCAGCACGGCTCAGTGGTGGAGCGTCGACCTATGAACCAGGAAGTTGTGGTTTGATTCACAGTCTGGGCACATGCCTAGGTTGTGGGCTCGATCCCATGCAGGAGGCAGCCAATCAATGATTCTCATCACTGATGTTTCTCTCTCTCTCCTTCTTCTCTGAAATCAGTATTAATAAAAAAAATCTCCTAATGGATCCTCTTTTTCCTAAGCAGGGCATCGAAAGCATTGATCAGATTGCTGGCCTGTGCCAATCTGACCTGGAAGCTGTGAGGACGGCAGCCCGGGAAGCCACGCTGTCATTCGGTAAAGTACAGCATCCATCGTTATGTGCAGTGGGCCCTTAGCGAGGCTGTGCGGGAGCAGCCAGGCCGGCTCTCAAAAGATGCAAATTAGCACCTGAGATGGCCACTGTTAGCAGCCATTTAACTGCATTTGGCCAAGGCAGGCTTCCTTCATGGTTAAGGTGGCAAGAAATGCTTTATTTCCTCCTTAAACGTCAGTTTATGTTTCTGGGAATAAAAGCAGATGCAAGGGACTTGATTCAGTAGACTCTGTCTTGGACATAAGGGCGAGGCACGAGTTGGCACCCCAATACCCCCAGACCCAGGTGTCAGTATTGCTAAGGCCATCCAAGGCAGGGAACAATGGCATGACAAATCATCTTAATATTGCAGGTGAAAAAGGACGCTTCGCTTTTGAGAAAATGGGCAAACTTTGCTTAGAACAAAGAGAAGAAACCTTTTTCCAGGAGGCAGATGTTGAAATCACAATATTCTAAAAAAAAAAAAAAAATCTCAGCCGACGAGCTCAAAGCTGGCATCTTTGTTTCTGCTGCTGCCCAGTCCTGACACAGGGGCTGAGCTGTGGATGGGGGCACGCTATGTGTGCCCTGGAAGTATGAACTGGCCAGAGTTGTTCCGAGTCTCAGATCAGTTATAAAGCCCCAGGGCACAAGTGGGACTTTGGTATAGGAGCACACGGGCTGAGCCACTTTAACCAACCTATCAGCTTTTGGCTTTGAGAATCGTTCCCCCGGATGCAGAGCCAGCCATGCTATGGAGTTGAGGCCTGAATAAAAGGCGCCAAGGTGACCTTGTCTCCTTGCAAGTCAGCTGGCTCAGCACCTCTGGCTAAATACTGGGATGAGGAGGCCGGCAGGCCTATGAGCTCGATAAAGGAGTGCAGTGGGTCGAGTCATTTCCACTGCACGGAGCGAGGGGTTCCGGTTCAGCTTTTCACCCGTTTGCCCCAAAGGCCCGGGGGCAGGCTGCTGCCCATGCACCTTCCTTCCACCATGTTCCAGAGCAGAAGCCTCGAGTATCACGTCAGTAAAAGCATCCACTGTGACCTCACTGGACAAAGTGATATCACTTCTGAAGCAAGTCAACTGAGGGCCCAGGATATAAGTTGCTTCAAATGCCACAGTTGGTGTGAAGAAAGATTTCACTGACCAGCATGTCGTTTTAAAGACACAAAGTTCATTTGCTGTGAAGTCTAAGACTCGAACGTGTCCTGAGCTGTTGTGTTAATGACGTTGAGATAACCTGGGGTGTGCACATGCCTATCAACAACGGCATTAGAGAGCTTTGTAACTTAAACATTCTCATTTATATTTCCTATATGTATTTTGTGTTTTTCGATTTAACTTAGTATTTATTTGATTTGTCTATATGTGGAACTTTCTGAAATTTCAATTAAAAAGAACAATTTTTATTGGCGTTTCATTTTACCTGGAAAATGTACGTAGTGGTTGTTTTCAGACATCCCGCTGAGGAAGCTGCCGCTCCTGTCCCCGAGCACACTCGCTCCATGTGACACTGTGGGCGGGTGCTTCCACAGAAGCAGGCACAGGAAAGGCAGTGTTAAATGTCCTTCGACTCTCATAAGGCTCCCCAGACGCTCTCCTACCCAGACTCCATGCGGTATGGCCTTTGCTCGGCCTTTGGCCCCATCTGATTTCTGTTCCAAAGTCACCAACTTAGTTTTGTTTTCCCACACACTGGCATTCCACCTTTTCATAAAAGCTTAGAGGCAATTTTTTGGTATGTGAAACAGATGGAAGTGACTGTGGGTATGGCACCACCATCCTGGCTGCCACAGTGGGTACTGTGTGGTCACGTGACCATGACTGTGCTTGTTTCCCACTTCCAAGATCCTGCCAGGAGGCCAAAACATAAACAGTTCACTCAGCAGCCAACCTTGAAACGGTCAGAAAGCCTTGAGGGATATAAGAAAAATTCTTTGTACCTCTTTGCAACATTTTGCAAGTCTGAAATTATCTCAAAACAAAAAGCCAAAAAATCACGTTAGGGAAGATTTACATTTATTTTGTACAAAAAAGGAAGACTACATGATTTTGCACATCTTACTATTCCCACATCGTCAATTCCACATCGAACATGACCGTACTGAGATGCGATAACAACCACTGGGTCTCACAGGCAGTTGGTTAAGAGGCATATTCTTGAGGTCTGAATAGCTTTTCCAACAACTTGTGCAAGCTTGCTAAGCTATCCAAGGGCCTCGTGTGCCGAAAGAAGCAGGTTAAGGCAGGATGTGTTAAATGAACCCCCAGTGCATCCTGTGGAGGCCCTTGTGATTCCCACACGTGGAAACTTGTAACCCCGCTTGACAACATCTGCCTCGCATCAGCAGGGGTGGAAAGTAGGGTTGTCCATTCTGGTTTAGGCCCAGGTAAGCAAAGAAATGGGAAGCACCCCAAATCCATATTCTTTAGAAAAAAATTTTTTTATTGTTGCAACTAAAATGCAAACCCATCATTTTTATATGGCAAGTTGGAAAACTGTACAGTTTAACAGTTCTGTGAAATCACAGAAGACCCTGAGACGCGCCCCCCACCCCACCCCGTCATGCATCCACGTATACACACACCTGAAAAGGTATTATACCAAAACACCTTGCTTTTTTTGTTGGTTTTTATTTTTGTAAAAATGGTGTATTCCGTGGCCATTGTAAAAAATAATGACCTGCTGAGTAAATATTGGTTTAAGGCATATAGCAGAGCAGCTCGCTACTTCTCTAACATACGTGTAACAAGATGGAGAGCCATCTGTTTTCCAAAGATAGGTTAAATCAGTATATCCATTTTGAAATGCTACGATATATACACACCCAACTACTACATACATATACAGGACTTCAAAAACAAACAAGCCCAACTCAAATGCTCGCAGCCTGGCACCTCAGCCCCATCCACACCTCCCAAGGCTCTGCGGGCGATGCCTCCATGTTCCCACCACAGAATTCCTCTGCACGGGCTTCTGACACGTGAAAGGCAAAATGTGAAAATGCTGGCAAGAGAGCAGCTCAGGAGCTACAGCTGCCTTTTTTTCTTGTTAAAAAAGCCACTTAATGTGGAGGTCTTAGGTTCCCCTCACAAGAAGAGTCGTGAGCACCATCAGTCCCCAGGGTTCCCGGGCAGGGGCAGACAGGCCTCGTTCAGCAAGGCCGTCCCGACTGAGAAAGCAGCCGGCTGACTCCAAGAGACCGTCATCGTCCAGGTTGCTTCAAGTGTGGTTTCCAGCAATTGCCTTGGTTCCAAATCACAGTCTTCTCAAGAAGAGTGTGTGTGTGTACTCGGGATAGTGGAGGCTGATCCCAAAGGTGTGTGTGCAGGGGAAACTGCTTGCCTAAATGTCCAGCGCGTGAGGTGTGACTATGGCTTCCCATCTCCTTGGAATGTTTGAGTTACAGTGGGACCCAGCCCGCACCAGGGAGTCACAGGAGTTTCATGCCAGGAATTAGGCCAATATCTGTTACTGGAAACATCCCTCCAGTGCTGAACAGCGAATAGTCCAGCAATAGTCTTAGGAACCACAGCTGTGTAATGTCTGATCATGCAAAGGGAAATTGGACTTTTACACGAGGGCACTTTATAAGCAGAGACCTAAGTATTTCAAGCACGTGGTATTTGATCAGGACACAAGAAGACCGAACATGCATTCTAATACCCACGGGGAAAGTGGTGATTGAGAATAAAGTTCTAGGAGATAAAACTGGGGAGGGGAATAACCGGACAAAGTCATCTCCCGTCATGTATGTTAAATATCCAAGTGTTCGTTATATATTACCCCACTGCTCTATAAACAAATGCCAAACCTCCAAACCTCCTCTCAGTTACCCGCAGTGTCATGAAATGCCCACTGCTCACAGCTGTCCTCCTTCCTAGCACTGGCCTGCCGCAGTGGGCTCATGGCAAAGTCATTCGTTCCCAACACTACCTGAGGGTTTATTGTACTTTTTGAGAACGCCTTTCATGCAAGGCTGACATCAAAACATTTTTTAATACATTATTGGTTCAAGAAAATGCTAGTGCACTATGGATGCTCTGGGGAAGAAATAAAAAATAAATATGGAGTAGAGAGGCTCACAACATGTGTCTCCGCAGAGCCTCCCAGGGAGTGCCGTGTGCTGCCCTGCACAGGCCACCTTCCTCGTGCCACCAGCAAGGGACTCTCTTCTGCTCTCCTCAGACAGGCTGTGGATTTGGTATATAAAGAAGGGGTTGGGGGAATAAAATGAAAGGGGTAGCTTCAAACTACCAACAGCTGGGAAGGGAAGCTTCGGTGCAGGGCAAACATCTGCCCCGTCACGCTGGCCACGCTGTGCGTCGGCCCTTACCTACCATGTTGCCTGCTAGTCAGGGGCGGGCTCTGTGAGTGGGGCGGGCAGTGGGGTGGGTCAGGTTATGTGTTGTTGTTGAACGAGAACTGGAATGAAGCCAAACATTTTCAGTTGAGCCCGGACCCGCTCGGTAGAGCTGCAGACTTGGCACTAACTACTGGCACCCCCAAACCCTGGCCGCTCCTGTAAAAGAGGCTTTTATTTAGTTATTTTTACAACAGCCTCCGCCCCTCCCAAAAACCACCCCTAAGGACAGACTGTGTGTCTAGTGTCTAAACCCATCTGATGCGCTCAAAGACGGTCACCTGGAAAGAGGTAAAATTTTAAAAAGAAAGAAGTCTTGTGAGGTTATTTCCATGACCAGAGTTTTGAAGCCAATCCTCCCTTCCCCTTACGCTAACAGCAACTCACTTCTCAGGTGTGGATGTCTACTGAAATGGCATTTCAGTCCAAATCAAGCGGGAACTGCTCCTTCTGGACCTCAATGGCAGGGTAAAAAGCCGGTGGCCACCCACCCTGTGGTGACCTCTGACCCTGAGGCAGGGTCCTCAAGGAACCCTGTTTTGGATGGGTGCTGAGGGTAGGACATGAGCAAGATGGCTGCTCCAAGAAGGGATCGATGGAGACGTGAATGAGGGAAAAACCAGTGGGGACACCCTGAGCAAAAGCACAAGCCAGGTTTACTAGTCATTCCTACAGATGGCCTTTTGTTATTTTTTTTACGTGGGAAAGCTGGCAGGACCTGGCCACGCTCAGTGCGCTCAGCAGAGGAGGTGACTGAGCGAGTCAGCGTCCTATACCCTTAAACCCTCGTCTAAAGAGGACTCTACATTCCTCAGAGTGTGGGAGTCTTTCCCTGGGAAATCAAATAGAAATAGTGTATCAGGTTATACCAGCTAAGGGTAAGAAAGTTTCATAAGTGCCTAGTCTTTCCCCCCCCAGAAATAACAAAAAGCTGCTTTTTATAAAGGTTAAAAACAACAATGTGTTGTAATTCTATTTTTCCCCAAAAAACAAATGAAAAAAAAAAAAAAAAAGAAAAAAGAAAGAAAAGAAAAGAAAAGAAAAGAAAAGAAAAGAAAGAGAGAGAGAGAGAGAGAGAGAGAGAGAGAGAGAGAGAGAGAGAGAGAGAGAGAAAGAGATGTATTTGGCATTTTCTCTACTTACTCCTGAATAGGTTAAGGCCCTGAGATTAGACGCTTGTATTCTTGGGACCACAGGGCTCCTCAAAACCCCAGTGCATCAATCCTCAATTCTCTCGTTAGCCCTTCACAGTTCCAGACTTTAAAACCTTTGATCTGTTTCTTCTGAGACTGGCTCAGATCCTTCCACAGCACTGAATGTGCCGCCAAGCTGCCGGCCAGTGCTTTCTGCACACGGTCTCACCAGCACGTCCGTCAGTGGAAACATACCCTGTAGCAGAGGTACGCGCCGGCCGTGAGGACCGTGGCCATGCACATGTTGACCAGAAGGGGCTTCCAGTGAATCGGCGCCTGGTCCTGCTCCTCCTTGGGTGGCAACGGCTCCTCGGTAGGACCTGCCCCCGCGACCCGCCTTCTGACTTCAGTGTCTTGACTCGTGCTGAGGAATGAGAGGGGCAGAGATGGGTTACTCGCTCTGGGGAAAACAATGGCAAAGACACTGTTATGGGGGAAGGGGAATGGAATTCTAGGAAAACGTGTGTTGCAGGTATACAGACAGAGGTTAGTGCTGACATGGGTCTAGGGCCCACTTGTCACTGCCTCCTCCCGGGGGTTCAGGTGGTCCTCAGAGCCAGGGCAGGGCTCAGGAGTCCCATGGATCCTTAGTGATGGAGGGTGGGTGAAGGTCTGAGAAGTACAGCCACTGATGTGAAGACAAGTTCTGACTTTTCCCTGCAGACTGCTGTAGAATGTCCTCATTCCCATCGGGAAAGGCAATGGTGTGGCCCACAGGCTTCCACACCCTCCCGGGACACCCGATAGATGCTGATCTACAAGGCCTTTGTCGCCGCTGACATGAAGACACCACACATTCCCACTGATCCTCTGCCCACTCTCCCAGGCCCGAGTCCCAAGCACTAAGCCAATCCTGCCAGGGGACCCTTTCCCAGGCGCCCTGTGTGCAGTCAAGCACCTAGCTGCCTTCATGATGGTGACCCGGGGGGCAGCATGCAGTGTGCTTGCTCCAAGGCTGTCTCAGGAGAGGCTCATGGGCCATGAGAAGCCAGGCCCTTCTCCACTCCCCTCCTGCTCCAGGCCTTTTCCTTTCCACCCTTGCCTCCATTAAGGAGACCCTGGCCACAGGAAGTTCGGTCTCACACATGCATCTGTGGCCTTCCTATCCCAGCAGCATCTTGTGCCTGATAAACCACCTTCCAGGAGACAGGAGGAGGCTGCAGCAGCTCTTGGCTGCAGCGTCCTCCCTACGAGGCCCTGGCGCAGCACTGAGGTCTACGGGCATGCTGCTCCCCCAGGCACCCAGCAGCACTTATGTTCTTGGTACAACTCCCTTTTTGTTCTTGAACTCTCTGGCTTTTAGCTTCCCAAATCCCCTATTTCCCTACACAGCATCTTCATACACAGAATGTGAAAGGCATTGCTCTCTCCACAAATAAAGAAAACAGAACACAAATGCGATGTCAGTCATTTGCAGCCTGTTTCTCTCAGCCTGGGCCCTCTGTAAGCCGAACCCCTGGATGGAGCACACTGGCCCACCCTGAGAATGTCAACAGAGGCCCTAGGAAACCGGACACAGCATCCCTGAGGGACAGCCAAGGACCTGTTGCTCAGTACATCACCAGGCACCTGCTCTGGGAGCCCACTGGACAAGTTTCTCTCCAGAACCAAGTCTGGTGTTTCTATGATAAAGACAGTTGCATGAAGGACCTGCAGCCTCAGGTTCATGAGTCAGAATTGGTGCCTGGGTGAGATACTGATGATCAATTTAACCAGAGGACCCTGTGGGGTACACATGGTCACTCGCTTTCTCGGATACTGCCACCCGATGTCCAGCCATGTGAGAACAGCCAGCTCCATTCTTTAAGAGCTGCAGAGCATCCCAACACAGGGAGAAAGAGGATTTGCCTAATCCCTGGGTATATAATGGACTCATCTCTAACTTCTCACCATTACAAATGATGTCGCAACAAGCACCTTTTCCTATACACTCTTTGCACATTTGTTTGAGAACTACTGTAGGCTAATTTTCTAGATAAATACAAATTTTGGGTAAAAATGTGGACTCATCTTAAATTACCCTCCAAACAGCAGGGACCAAGGACACTGCCTCCCTCATTTCAGGGTGGAGCCAACTCCCATGCATTCTTCTTCGCTTCCATAGGGCCCCCTCTTACAGGCTGACTTTCCCCTGCAGTCTGCTGTAGAATGTCCCCATTCCCATCAGGAGAGGCAATGGTGTGGCCTTTCCTGATGGGAATGGCCAACTACAATTTACTGTCCCCTTCCTCACAGGGTCTAAAACATAGACCAGGAGCTATATTCTAGTTATCTCAGTATTTCACATGCATCAATAGTGCTGGATAATCTTTGTTCAACTATAAGGGAAGGAGACCTGGCTGGTTTGAGCTCATCAATAGTTAGCATGTCGGCCAAAGGGTTGCAGATTCAATCCCTATCCCCAGTTGGGGCGACAATGGGAATCAACCAGTTATTAAAAAAAAAAAAAAGGGGAAAAAAATGGGTGAGGACTAAGAAAATAATAAAGAACTCTAAGGAAGCAAAATGGCAATCCACTTGGGTTAAGGTTTTTTTAAAAGTATGTTACTGATTTTTTTACAGAGAGGAAAGAATAGAGAGTTAGGAATATCAATCAGATACCTCCTGCACATCCCCTAATGGGGATGTCCCCACAACCATGGTACATGCCCTTGACTGGAATCGAACCCGAGACCTTTCAGTCCGCAAACAGACACTCTATCCACTGAGCCAAACCAGTCAGGGATACATGAAAAGTTTAAGTTCCCAAAAAGACCATTGTGGGGGCTAAAGGCATACGGTCAAGCATGGACATCCCACTTCTGGACGGGCTGGAAGCCTGGGGGAGGGCACTGGGCAGGACGCCCAGCACACTGGACTCCTGATTCCAACAAGCACCACAAGGTGGTGCTAGAACCCCGCTGAAGCTGGTCACTTCCCAGGGCCAACCTGGCTCTGTACCTGGGCTCCTCCAGCCAGGGGAGGAGCAGGACAGTGCAGGGGCTCCATTCCCCAAGGACATAGAAGCACTGTGTCCAACAGAAACAGAAGGTCATTTTTCCTTACCCCCAATAAGCCAGGACCATCTCACGTTACCTTTCTATGTTACAGGGGACACTCAAGAGGGTTCTGGTTTCTTCCTTGATGGGGTCATCTTCTTTATCCTCCTCGGACTCATCCTTTACCCACTGGTGGTTTGGGAAGAACTCCTTGCATTTCCCATTGTGTGGCTCCAGGATTCGTTTGGGTGGCCGGGGAGGGGGTGGGACGTGCTCAGGTGGGGGCTCCAGGTCCTCGTGGGAGAGCTCTTTCCACTGCTCCTGGAAAAAGCCGCAAATGGAGCCCCATCAGTGTTTGTGCCTGTCTGCTCTGTCAGGAAATCTGTCCCCTTTCAGTGAGCAGAGGTGATGGCTTCTCGGATCTCTAGACATACACTTGAAGATGACAGTGTTTGAGTTTTTACAACGGACAGCTCCCTTCTTCAGAGACAAAAATGGAAAATCAATGAAAGCAGAAGCAATGCTCACCTGCACGGAAGAGTCCCCCATGATGAATTTGGCACCTTCGATCACAGCTAGGTAGGAGAAACGGAGCTGGTCTGCTGTCTGGATCAGCCCCATCCGAAATCTCCTCATTTCCAACAGGACTTTCTTGATATCAACAGACGAAGGGTCTTTCCTTTTGTCCATCTAAAAGCCAGATAGGAGACACAACTCAGCCAGCCCAACTCTCCAGTGCCCACTCAGACAAAAATCACAGCAGGGAAGCCAGGATTCTAGAAAATGTGAGCCAGTGCAGCAAAACTGGGACCATGAAAGCAGGTGGGGGGAAAATGAGAGAGAGGGGATTCTTTGGATCTTCCAGGATTTCACTGTGAAATTAAGAATATCCCTCTGAACAAAGTTATTAAGGATAAAGCTATTTTTACAGAAGGGAAGCTGCTACAAAGGGAAGATCAAAGATGGCTTTCTGCACAGACATTACCAGAGAAGCTATGGCCAGACCAGAGGAGAGGTTTACAAGTGGTCCGTTCTTTTCCCAGATTCCTCAAGGGCCTCCTTACCAGCAGGAGACAGGTGTCAGCAAGACAGAAGGTCCCCGACCTGCCGATGCCGGCACTGCAGTGCACCACGATGGGGCCGTACTCCCGGTTGAGAGACCCCGACTCTCGGACTTTGAAAAGAAAGTTCAGGAATGAGGCTGGCGATTCGGGGACTCCGAAGTCAGGCCACGTGGTATAGTGGAAATGTAGGATCTCTCGAGTTTCTTTAGACTAAAAGAGAAAAATACTTATGAAGATTCCAAGAGAATCATCTGCACAGAAATCGCAGGTTCCATGTAAGCACGAAGTGCCTCCATTCACTCTAAGAACAGCTTTCATTCTCAGATTTTCTCACAGGGACAATGAGCCTCCAAGATCACACATACCAAGCACCGAGGTGCCGGGCCCTGGGCTTGACACTAGACCATAGGCTGCTCCTGCTCTGACTTCATTCCTTTAGGAGGGAGCAGCCTTGCCCATCTCTCTTCTCCACTCTCCCTCTCCCCTCTGCTGCCTTCATGATTACAACTGATTTCTTGCCCCACAGTGATGCTGCACTGCCACCCAGGATACCCATGGGAATGGCCAACTACAATTTACTGTCCCCAAACAGCATAAGGTTTCACAGGAAACAAACAGCATAAGGTTTCACAGGAAAGAGTGAAAACATAAACTGCGTGTATGTGGCATCAGCTCTGGGTAACTTGATCAGACTATCTGGACATCTCAAGGATCGTCATTTTAGGGGGGGCGGGGGGGAAGGCAACCAACTTCACCTCCAAAAACGAGGTTGCCACATGTGGTTCAATACCCAGCTGAAGAGATGATCCTGAGCATTTATTTTTAGTGCTGAGCACAGTGGTCACTGAGTGTTCACACTAGCCCTTCAAGGCATGTATTCCCATTTTCCAGATTAGGAGACTGAGGCTCAGAGGCCAACCCTCCATTAAGTGAAGGAGCAGGAGTTTTAATCTAAGTTTGCTTGACTCAAGCCCATGTTCAGAGCTGGTTTCAGTAACTTTAAAAAAAAGAAAGAAAAAAAAAATATATATATATATTGATTGATTTCAGAAAGGAAAAAAGAGACACATCAATGAAGAGAGACAATCATTGATTGGCTGCCTCCTGCAAGCCCCTATTGGGGGTTGAGCCTGCAACCCAGGCATGTGCCCTTGATCGGAATCAAGCTTGGGAGGGACCCTTCAGTCCGCAGGCCGATGCTCCATCCACTGGTCTAGGGCCAGTTTCAGTAACTTCTGAAAGGACCCTGGCCCAGTCTGCTCCCCTTGGAGCAGAAAGAAGAATGACTTCTGGTGTTTCTTCCTCTGAGCCTCAGAGAGTCCAGACCCAGAATGGACACCTGGTCTCCTATAGCAATGATCAAAATGCAGTTCTCATTGGGAAGAGAGCACTCAAGAGCTTTCTAAGCTAAAGGCACACAGTAAATGGGAACCAGGGACTGGGTAAGTAAGGCCTTCAATCCTTGCAAAAATCCTGGGCATAGGAAGAAGGTTTGAAGGAACCATGCCAGCCTTAAGGGTCTCCTACAAAGCAGTGTCAAGGACCATGGCAGTGCCCAGGTCACCTGGACAGCAGCTGATGGAGAAAGGCTTCAGGCCTGAGACCCATTTACTAACACTGACTTCCTTCATTTGGCAAATGTCCACAACATGCCTATCATGTGCTAGCCACCATGAGGTGAAAATACAACCCGGGCCCTTCCAGAGCTTACAACTTAGTTATAACAACTTTCCCTGACTCTAGTGTGATGAAAACAAATGAAAGAACCTATAATAAACACCAATGACCTAAAATCAGAAAAGACTACCCACATTCAACCCTGCACCAGCTATTGCATACACTACTACCTTTCTATAGAACAGGGAGAAATCTACCTATGACATTAGGGTAATTTATAGAATCACTAGAGGCCTGGTGCATGAAATTCATGAAAGGGGCTTGGCCCTCGTGGCCCCGCCCACTGTTTGTTCTGGAATGTTCCACCATCTGGTCTACTTAGCATATTAGCTCTTCAGTATATAGGATATTAAGCAATTCCATTCTTTCCTCCCTAGCAAATGATCTAATATTTTACTGGCTTTAAAAAGAAATGCCTCTTCTATTTTTTAGGGAAAAAAAGCACTTAATATATATTTAAAAGTATGCTAAAAGTGAGTTATCTCTTTTAATTCTGAAGATGATGTGGGTTATCTCTTGTTTATACCCTCCCTCACACCTGCCCAGCTTGTTCTCAAGGAATTTACTCTAGAGCTGTGCTTGAACAGATACACATGTCTGAGAAGAGGCTTTTTAAAAACAAAACCTGTTAGAGCAAACAGATCCTCCTAACACTGAGGCCTCTGAGCGGCTGTATCTGCTCCGCCACCCACACAGCACAAACCTCTTCTGCTCCGTCCAAATTCCCTTTCCCTCAACAAGAAGAAATATTCTCAAGCGTTTACCAGAAGTCACTCTTAATATATCAGGCTTGCAAATGCTCAAAAGCATTTTAAAAAGTCTACTATATAATCCTTCAGGCACATTCCAGCCTGCTGCCAGCATCACTCCTGAAAATCCTCCGTCAAACCCTCCATAAATCACTCCCTGAGCCTCCGAGCATGGCGCGGGCAGGGCTCACAGCTGAGCTATCACAGAGGGAGAGAGAGAGCACTCAGATAAACCACACTGCTGCGTTCCTCAAAAGCCACGCAATTTTAACCTGTTCTCTGCTTCACAGTGACCTGCGCTATGTTCTCCACCTGCTTCAACTACTAAATTCAGCAGCTGGAGTCATGATGACTGGAGAACACTTCAGCAGCAAATATAACTCCTTAACACCGTCTGAAAAGCCCAATCCATTGATTCCCACCCCGACCTTGTCTTTATCTGGTCACCTGTGCTGCTCCTAGAATGACCCCATGTGACTTCAGGCCCACAACACTGCTCACCCTTCCTGAGCACATGCTCTAGGCCTGGTGCTGCTTTAACACTTCACATATGGTACCTTCCCCAACCGTTAGAAAACTGAGACATGGTGAGCCATGTGCCCCTTGCCCAGAGACTGCCAGTTTGATATGGTGGGCCAGGATCAACCCCAGGCACTCTAGTTCCAGAAGGTAGTGGCTGACCACCTCGATTGGGCATGTCCCCGGGAACTGCCTTGAGCTATGGGCTCCTCAGGGATGGATCCAGGTGAGCGATTCAGAATCCTCAGGGGCAGGGCCTTCTGTGGTGCTGTTTCTTAGCACAGTGTCTTGCCATGTTCCAGTACCACCTTTTACTAATAGTCAGCTTTTGGTATTATCAATTCTTCCCACAAAAAAACTTACACTGGCTATGAAACTTATGACACTGGGCTGAGCCCTGGAAGGACCCTTTCCCCTCTCTTCAGAAGAAAGACCGCAGATAATGAAAGAAGACAGCAGCTCTGCTCGTACTTAACCCACAGGCTTCCCTTTCAATCCTCTGCAAAGGCAGGAACAGATGAGTTTTCGATAAGAAACTCCCCTCTCCTAAGAACTGGTGTTATCTACTGTTCAAGTTTAGAGAGAGAGTGAGCCCCATGGGAAAAGAGGTATATAAGACCCCTCCCTTGCCACTCAAGACATCTCAGATGATCTGCTAAATAAGCAGGGAAGGTCTGCTCATCATGGTGCCAAAACCACATCTTGCTCAGGGTTTTACAAACCCAGGAAAACTGGAATTTGTTAATTATCACCCGAAGAAAAATAAATCTCAACCAGTAACCGTGTGAAATTCTTAAGAATATGCCATACTTACTATCAGGTTTTCCAATTCTAGTTGTCGTACTGTGTAATATGACTTAATATCTTCAGAGATCAATGTTAATTTCAAATTTGTGTCTTCAAAGATCATTTCTTTTTCTTCTTTTTGTGGCCAGTACTGTGCACATTTTAACTAGGGGAGAAAATAACATTGAATTACTATGAGCAAATGACCATTTTCCTATGACAGGAAGTTCGAAGTACCTTCCATGAACTTGAAGAAAACCCAAAGGCCTAAGGTTTTCTGACCTTGGAAGTCACCCTCAGCATAACCTGCCTTCCCTTAAGGGAGATGGGGAGGGGCTTGTAAAGACTGAGCCAGGGCTAGTTGTGCAGGCAGGGTAGACTTCCAGAGCCAGCAACTCCCAGGTAATCAGCCAGTGAGGTGTTTCAGGGATCAGATCCTTTTCCTATCACCTACGAGGGAAAGCCATATTGCACAAAACGTTCAGTCTCTCACCAAGTACTTTATGTAACTATTTCAAAGATTGCCAGGAACCTGATCAATGCTGTTTACATCGTGCAAACACCTTACCCTGGGGAAAGTAACAGGCTAATTGAAAACATGGCTAGAGGAGACCATGGGAAACACTTTGAAAGGCTGAAGGGCTGTATTTACATGAAAACTATTTGGCAAAGGACTGGAGAGGGGCTCCTCCAAGGCATGGGATCACCCACTACCTCATCCTTCACTTTCTGCTTTGCTTCAGTTCAGAAAAAACACTAATGATGTTCTAGCTTAATAATTTCAGAAACTACTTGATGGTCTTGAATAACCTTTTCTTTAAAGCAAATAAAATTCTAAAGATTTGGTTTCAATAAGAGTTTAAGAATCTGACTCAAATTTTATGGCATATTTTGCTTCGGCTAAATTTCTGCACCAGTGCCTATCACTTCTGCTTGCTGATGACTGTTCTGGTCAAAAACAGCTGATGGATGAGGGCTCAGCTGTCTATGAGCCAGGACTGATAATGTATCTAGACAGATGGAACCTCAAATGGTTTCCATAGAATAAAGTATCAGTGTGTGCAAATAGCTCTTGGGGAAATGGTACAAATTCAAAACACTTGTAATTCAACATGCAGTCACCCACTCAACACCTCCTCCAAAGCAAAGGATGGTTGTGTCTGAAATGCCACAGTTAAGTGGAGGGAGTCCCTCCCTGGCCAGCTGTCTATCAGGACAGACTGTTCATGCCTAGCAGTGACAAAATGGCCAAAGGGAAGTGCTGAGGAGAAAACGCTATGGATGTGCCCTGGGAATTCAGAAGAGGTGAATGTTTCAGGCGGGCTGAAGTTATGGGGAAGAGATCAGAGAAGGCTCAGTGGAAGAAGCAGGCTCTGACAGAGGTATTTAGGAAGGATGTCTAGGATTTCCTAGGCACAGACTACAAAGAAGTCCATCTCAGAGGAGCAGTGGAAAATGGGGCCAAAGGAGGCCCCAGACCACAGTGACTCTGGCAGCAGGCCTGGGAACCTGTAGTATCACCTTGGTAATGAGGAGCCAGGAGGCTCTTGAGGATGATGAACACAGAACCACAAACGCCCATGTACCCTGCTCTGCTAAATCTGCACACTACCAAAAACCAAAGCAAAAACAGAAACAAATCAAGAACGCCAGCATGCCATGCCAACACAACATCTAACTCAACGGTCCCCAAACAGAAGGCTAATAGGGCTTTCTAAGAGCCTGGACACAGGCCTGTTTAAAATTCTTGGCTAGCTTTACTCCTTTCACCCTCCCCCCACATTGATGATGAGCTGCCAAAGATAAACTAACCCCTGGAATGGGGCCAATCTGTCAGCATCGAGGCAATTCTGCCTCTCAGGACGCAACCGTTAACGTATGGCAAGATGCATGCTTGGCCAAGGTAGGTGGGACATCTGAAAAAAAGACTTTAGAAGACCTAAGATGCATTTATTCCCACATGTCAAATAATTAGACCTATGTAATCCCTTAAGATCCCAGAAACAAAGTGATTGTCTAGGCAAGTTCAAAACCATGTTTGATGGCATGAGCACCCAACATAGCAAGTGCAGAGAGAATGTGATAAAGGAGCAGAGACACAGAATGGCCAGTCACCAAGAGGCCAATGTTTTCATGTCTCATGGGCAGGGAAGATGAGTTTTTAAAATCCCACCTCCATCAAGCAAGCACCCACTAAAGCCTAATAAATCTGTAATCTGGGTCAAGACCAAGGCTCTGGAAATCTACAACTGAGGAATTCTGGAAATCACGTGTCAATCAACTGTTTACTTATGAGAACTCTTAGGCATCTACAGTCACATGCCACACTGCTCTGTTATTTCCTGTATAGATTTTGTTTTAGATACACAAAATAAAACAAAACATAAGCACAAGCTCACTACTTCTGTTGTCCTATTGATAGAAATATATGACCTGAAAAGAAGATTTAATTATAAAGCAGTCTTTCACCAGGATTCCAACTGAGGTATCCCTTGGGTTGGCAACAAACAGCAATGTGGCAGTCTTGTCCTAGCTGCTGTTACTGCCATGAAGGCAGATGTGAGTGTGTGTATGTGTGAAAGAGAGAAAAAGAGAGAGAGAGCCCTTGGGACCTCCTAAAACAAATAGCTAGGCAACTTGAAGAAAAAAATCTATGAAAGTCATCTGAGTGACCCTGTGACAGTGCATTCGGATTTCCAAAGAATGACGAACACAGAGAACTAAGTAGAGCATGAGAGAGATGGATGAGCCCAAAGCACCTGAAAGCAAACAGCACCTGTAGCAGGGATTTCAGGAGAGACATAAGCCATACTTCTGGAATAACAAGTTAAACTCACCTTGTTTATCTCTCCTGCCTAAACAACAATCCCAATCCTATACACATATGACATTCTACATTGACATGCCTACAGTTAATACTGAAATCAAATCAATATGGCCATTTGCATGACCACAGTCTAACACACACAATCATTTTCTGCACACTGTTTTCCAGGAAGCACAGGGTCCCAAAAGGGTAACAGGCAGGCTTGCCAAAAACAAGAAGAGAACATCCTACACTATTTGGTGAAGGAAGGAAACCAGAAAACAAACATACATAAAATGAAAACGCTCTGCAAACTGGCTTTTACCACGGCTGTGAGGATAGTTTATAATTAGATTAGCTGAGCAAATAAGACGTTGCATCTTCTTATCCTTTCTGCCAGTCAGTCCTTATGGGATGATATGATGATGCCAAATGAAAATGTCAAATCATATGCTGCTTTTCATGCCCAAATAACCCTGAGTGAAAACAGCATAAAGGAAAAGTAGGAACTACTGTCATGTTATCACAATAAACTATAACAAAACCAACCAGCCATGCTGTCATAATGGCCGACATAACAATCTAAGGGAAAGGTGGTTACAGTGGATCTACGGTTCACTTATGGTCAGCCATGGGCGGGAGACAATCAGAAGCAAGGCCTGGTGACCAAGAAGTGACTGCAGTGCAGGGACCCTGCTCCTTGTTGTACTGTGACAATGCTAGTTAAAGCAAACCGTGTGCAAACAACGAAGAAGTTTTACCTGAACTTTTAACCACAAATAAGTTAAAGTAAATGCTATCCTATTTGGTGATTTTTAAATAAATAAGTCTTGATTTAGAACTCCCACCCTTCACATCATCTAGAACAGTCAACCAGGGACAATTCTGCCTCCCAAGGGATAACGAACAATGTCAGGAGGCGTTTCTGGTTGCCACAACTGGGGGCGGGGTTGCTGCTGGCGGGAGGGTGGAGACCAGGGATGCGGCAGCCCTATGCAAGCAGTGCCGGCCTGAAAACCCCGAATGGTGGCCTGTGTGGAGCACCTGCAAAGGCCACCACGTTTCACTTTCCCTCGGGGAGCGTGTGTGCTGTGGGAACCTAATGTTTTGTTTCTTTATTCAAAATTGCTGACACAAGTGGTGACAGGTAGGGGCTTCCTTCACATTTTACTAATCACGCCAATGAAGCAGGAAAAATTAAAAACCACTTTCACTGAGAAAAAGGACAAAAGCATTATTTTACCCACGTCAACACAAAGGTAAGTGCTTCTTTATTGAGTAAATAAATAGTTTCCTTTCAGAATAGGGGACAGAAGTAGAATACATAACTTTAAACATGTACTGTAGTGAGAGGATTATCTGTTGTGACTGAGACCATTTCTCCTGAGGGAGAGCAGAGAGGCTTTGTGGTGAATGCCTCCCGTTTTCATTGCCCAAGTTTCCTCTGAGTGTTACTTCTTTTTACTCTCTGGCCATGACTGTGCTTTCTTGGGAGAAGTGGCTTCTTTGGAGCCTTCATGTTCTCTGGCAAGTCACAACTACGTCCCGAGGTGGATAGGACAGCCGGGAGAGCTGTGCCAGCCAAGCCCCGGAGAGCACAGTCCTGGCACCTGCAGGCCTAGTTCTCTGCTCCTGAGCACCAGTTCACAGCAGAATCCTCAGCTCACCTCCTCCTGGGGTCACACCTCTGAGTGAGGGTGTCGAGGGAGAAGGGAAGGATCTGGGCAGTGAGGACGTGGCGCCTGTTTGCTATGCTGAATACCACACTTATGCTGGGCATGCATGGAACCTTACATGGAGACAGGCTTTCACAGGCAATCCTGCCTGTGAAGAAGCAGCCGTGTAGAAGGGAAGGCATCACAAGCTGTGGCTGACCAGAGGGGAAGCAACCTGAGGATTCCTGGGAGTGGGTGAGGGTGGGTACTGTGACTCAGACCCTTAGCCCAGAGAACATGGTAAGCTGGCAAAAACTTAACAAGAAAAAAAAGGTTTGTTCTGGCTGGAGTTGGAGGTGGGAGGGTGGGGTCCAAGTTAACTGGGGCCCAACCACACGCAATACCACGCTAGACCCTGCAGCCGCCTTCCATATTCCTGGGCGGCAAGAGCCCCAAACGGCTTTTCCGAGGAAAGAAGTGTGGTGAGGCTGGGTTAGAAAGGCCATTCTGGCTGCAGGTGTTAGAAAGAAGGGTGTGGGGATGCCTAAAGGAACAGATGCACGGGGGGTGAGGGCCTGAACACACACACACCTTTAGTCCACACACTAGATTGAAGAATGTTCTGAGAGATGCAAGGAACTTGGGAGAAAGGGTAACACAAATCCTGAAGTAAATGCATAAGCTGACAGTGGTCCACAGAGAAGGGTGTGGCCAGGAGCCACGTGGCTGGGATGTTACAGAGGCAAATACAGAGTCCAGCCGTTTCCACAGCCAGAAAAGCTAATGGGAAGCCACAGCAGACACTGGCTTTTCAAAACAAAACGATGCTTCTGCAGCTCCATGGTGCACGGCAGCAGCGCAGGAAGCCAGGTGAGGCTGAAGCAGAGCACACACACATCAGTCTCTGGAGAGCAAACCCTAACTGGTATGGCTCAGTACATAGAGTGTCAGCCCTCGGACTGAAAGGTCCCAGGTTCGAGTCTGAGTCTGGTCAAGGGCACTTATCTCGGTTGCAGGGTTGATCCCCAGCTCTAGTTGGGGCTGGTGTGGGAGGCAGCCAATTGATGTGTCTCTCTCACATCGATCTTTCTCCATCTCTTCTCCTCCCTTCCACTCTGTCTAAAAAAGCAATGGAAAAATATCCTCAGGTGAGAATTAACAACAACAACAACAACAAAAAACAACACAAGATAACTCTAGAGAGAAGCTCACTGAGAGCGGGTGGGAAGGGGACAGGGCATTTTACCTTTGTCTCTCTTTTTAATTCACTTATTTATCTGACTTGTTTATAATTAACATGTACGTACATAGTGCCTCTTTAATTTTTTAAAATAAAAGATCCTATGTAAAAGAAATCTAAAAGCAATTCAAAGGAGCAAACATAGAGAAACTGTTAACATTGTGGACTGACACAGGCAGACAGTGATATAATAGGTAAATGCACACTTACCGATCCCTTCTCCATCACTCTGTTGAGCATGACCACGCCCCTGCTTTTCTGCTCCCACACCATCTCCCAAAAGTGACCACAGGTATTAGGCAAAGGGCCCTGCAAAAACACAACCCACAAAGTGCATGCCATATACACAGAAACATACTCCAGTGCAAGCTCACCATTGGCAACTAGCAGATAACAGTGCCCTGAGGCAGAGTCGTGGCAGAGGCTGGGACAGAGACCCAAACCTCCCTGCCTAGTGGTCAGTAACCACCATTCTATTTTCTAACACATGGTGGAAGGTTATTTCCACATCTCAGGGCTGATCAACAGGGGAGAAAAAACACTGATTCTGCTTTCTGGTTTAGGCTGGTCCGTCAAGGGGCTCCACTAAGATCCACCTAATAGGCAAAACTACCAGGTGCAGAAGAACATTAAACAAAACTAGTGGGTATGGGGAAGTGATCAACACCAAATGGTTCTAGTTCCAATCACTTATCTGTGTGAACTTGGACAAGTCACTTCACTTCTCAAGTCTTACTCTCTCTACTTATCTCAGTTGACTAAGTACAGGATCTACTCACAGGGGTTTGAAAATTAACTATGTTCACATATATCAATGCTTTTCCACAGTACCTAGAACATAGTAAACAACCAATGAGATGTTAGCTATTATTATTATTGTTAATAATGGTAAACCTGATCATAACAGCCTTCATCCTTGGACCATGGAACATAAGAGTTGTGGTCAACACAAATGGTCAGTCAAGTGGCCTAAGGAGTGACTACTAAGCAGCCGGCTTGTCTCACTCTAGCCCCCCTACAAAAGGCATAGATGTTTATGAGTACAAGGGTACAAGTGCTTCAAGTTTGTCTGTTTTCAGTAAGACCCTTCAACATCACTCCAGCTTCGAATAGATCCGAGGGATTAAATATCACATAGGATCTGAAAGCACCCTGGCTGGTGTTGCTCAGTGGTTGAATATCGACCCATGAAGAGAAGTCATGGCTCAATTCCTGGTCAGGGCACATGCCTAGGTTGTGAGTTCAATCCACAGTAGGGGGCCTGCATGAGACAACTGATTGAAGATTGTCATCATTGAGAAATAGAAATATTTCTCTCTCTCTCCCCCTCTCCCTTCCTCTTTAAAATCAATTTAAAAAACCAGAAGTTCTGAAAGAATACATACCAAACTTGGTCAACATTTCATGGGGGTGGTGAAGGTGAGCACTGTTGACATTATTCTCTACACTTCTATATCTCTGATTTTTAAAAAGACTTGTATCATTTGCATAATGAACAATAATGAAAATTTAAAAAACAGGCAGGGTTTTCTTGGTTTTGTGGTTTGGAAAATGTTTGTCATACTATCTAGAGGTGCAACTTTTGGGGTCATGCTGCTTTAATCCTTTTTGTAAATCCCAGGGCAAAGGGAGACCATGTCAGCAGCTAGATACATCTGTGGGGCCACCCTTCAGACAGACAGAACTTCAGGTGTGCCAAGTAATTGAGAGGGCAAAGGGGTGGGAAAGACAGGGTGCAAAAGTTTCCATGGTGATTTTTTTCGTTCCATTTGACTATACACCTTATGAATCTTTGCTTTGGGCTTTCTAACCCCACACAAAGTTGAATGGCAGAAATCAGAAAGTAAGATTTGACTTCTTCTGAAAAGAGAAGTTCCCAAGAAGCCACTTTTGCCTCAACCTCTTCCCACCAGCTTGACACCAAAGGATCTTCCTCTTTATCACCCACCCCGGCCCTCCAGTAAAGGCCTGACCCCTATTCATACACCAAGGACTTACTCAACAGGCCCCAGAAGTGAACACTGCATGGCTGACATTCCATACATTAAAACTGGGAGGCATCTGGGCTGATTATGGCCATGGACCTGGGGAACTGGGACAGGACAAAAAGGGGCAGAGAAGAAGGGCCGCGACTTATATGCCCTCATCTAGCTCCCTGCCCCAAAAGCAGCCCTTTGTTCATAGTGCTTTCTGGCTTCTCCATAATTTTAGAATTCTGATGTTCAAAATCACCTTCTAACTCAAAGCCATATACAAGACTGATAAACTGATATGGGATAAGAAAACAAAAAGAAACTTAGATAGTTTAGACCAACTTACAGATAACAGAATAAGACTTGAGAAAATCATCAAAAATACTTTCCCTGCCAAAACCGGTTTGGCTCAGCGGTAGAGCATCAGTCTGCAGACTGTAAGGTCCTGGGTTTGATTCCGGTCAAGGGCATGTACCTTGGTTGTGGGCACATCCCCAGTAGGGGGTGTGCAAGAGGCAGCTGGTCGATGTTTCTCTCTCATCGACGTTTCTAGCTCTCTATCTCTCTCCCTTCCTCTCTATAAAAAAATCAATAAAATATATTAAAAAAAATACTTTTCTTTATCCCCATTCCCAGAAGCCCATTGTTCTGGACCTTATACCAGTAAATGTTTCACAAGAATATCAATTATTAAACCACTTTTATGATCCTTTCCATAAAGATGCCAAAGCCAATGGGAATTTTAAGTGATTTTGCATCCTTGTTCACATACTCTAATGGTTTTTTTTCTGAACCGAAAAAGGAGGACCATGCCACAGAATTCCGAATGGATATCTGGACAAAAGTTCCGAGTAACTACTCCTCCTCTCAGATTTCCATGAGAAGCATTCAATGCTCTGAGGCACTTATGGAATCAATACAGGTACAGGCCCTTCTCTAGCCACGGCTCTGCTGCCTCTGTGGACAGACGACCACAGGCAATTCTGCAGTTAAATGCTGTTTCTCATAAGCCCAGCAATGTCATACTTCTCAGAAAGATTAGTGTTACAACCAAACTGAATCTCTGAAGGAGGATTTTTTCATACCTTGTTGCTTTTATAGCTGTTTAAAACCTGAGCTTCTAAAGAATGTGGCTAATTTTGTTTGAGGTGTAGTAACAGCACTCTAAAACCCTTCAATTGACATCAAGTAAGGCAAAAACCATTTAAAAAAAAAAAAATTCAGACAATCCTGGGTTTACCTGGGTTAGAATGTAACTTCTCTGCGCTTCTTCCATTTTTATCAAACTAGCATTGATATAGTCGTTATCTTCTTGATGTAGTTTAATCCGACTATGGTCAACTGAAAGGCAAATCAGAACTCAGAGGTTAATCCTGGCTGAGGCAATGCCTTCTAAATGGAAACATTTAATATGGGGATAACTTTCAGAAGGTGTCTGAAACCTAATACTAAATAGCAACAGGGACAAACTACACTAAAACATGGATTAGGTCCCATTTGGGAAATCTATGCTTAGGTCATTTCTTCCTACAACACTTACTACTGTCCTCACAACTTGGTAGATTGGGAAGAGGAGATGTCAAGAAATCTGTCTGATGCCTAATACAAGATGGGGTAAAAGCAGGTTTACAGTGGTTTGTATGGAAAATAATACAACAATTAATAAATAATAACAAGAATAAATTGTTTTGTGTACTCACAACTATAAACCTAGTTTTGCCCCCCTTTGTATATACTTTTGTTGTTGTTGTTGTTAATCCTCACCTGAGGATATTTTTCCATTAATTTTTTAGAGAGAGTAGAAAGAAAGGGGAGACACACAGAGAGAGAAACATCTATGTGAGCGAGACACATCGATTAGTTGCCTCCTGCATGCACCCCAACCAAGCCTAAAACTCAGACATGTGCCCTTGATCAGAATCGAACCTGGGACCATTTAGTCTGCAGGCTGATGTTCTATCCACTTAGCCAAACCAGCTAGGGCTCTATATATTTTTATAGGATAGGATTTATGAGCATACCCCAACTTAATATACATCTAAATGTTTGAAGATTAAATGACTTGAGTACACAACAGAGTGAAAAGTCACATCTTAAATTCCTTTACACAGGTTTTATTCTTAACTCAAGTTTAAGTATAATATACTTAAGTAATTCTAAATCATTCAAAGTCAGAATCTGTCATCATCAAAGACACTTAAAGAGTTTTACTAGAAAAATTAATTTTGAATTAAAAAAACAAAGTATATTAAATGTAATTTTCAGAATAGTTTTTAAAAATAAACTCTCATTTAGAAGTTCTGTCCATATTAGTGAAAAAGTACAGCATTTCCCCCCCCTTTACCATGACTTTGTCAAAGAAACAATGATTCCCTAAGGGCCACTTTCCTATTCTGCTAGTGTAGCTAACAAGAACAGGTGAGTATTTTTATTTTTGATATAAGGGATAATGAACTCAGTTGATCAGCCATAAACAGCATCTTTTACTCAGCCCAATGGGGAAGAAGTTAGTGAGGATAAATGGTTTGGGGCTTTTGTTCTAAAAGGTTTCAAAGATATGTTTTTGAAAATTAGCAATTGTTTGGAACACTGTTAACACAAACTGAAGTAATTTGATTGATAATATGTAAGTGGGTCATGAAGAAAAATTATGTGACTGGCACTGGTGAGTTACGTGAGCAGGTTCAGACAGCACTGGGGGACCTTGGGCAAACAACTCCTCTGAGCATTCGTTTTTTCACTGGATGGAAGATAACAAAATCCCCTTCTACCTTGAATCATTCTCCCGTTAACTTCATAACCTTAAAAGTAAATTAGTTTTTCTACTGGAGATTGGATGTAGGGGAGAAAATAACAGTATGAGAAGTGAGATTGGTGATAAAAAAGTTTTGGAATGTCTCCTTAGAAGAATATTATTTTAAAGGCTTTCTTTCTCTGTAAAAGTGGTTCATAAAACCATTTAGGTGAGCACTGATCAAAGATGGAGAAAAGAAATATTGAATACATTATTGACTAACTCAGAGAAAGCACAGCAAAAACTAGAAACAAAGGGTATCTCCTGGCAATACTGAAAGACGCAAACAGTAACTGTTCCTTCAAGGTCCAGGCAGCTGGCCAGGACCTCACAGCAGAATCACTCAGGGAAGTTTAAAAAGAGAATATACTCTCTGATGTGTCACAGCCTAGATATGCTAACTCAATAGTGTCAGGTATTGGATATAATCATGTGTCACCTGATGACCTAGAATTACACTTCAGATGCTGTTGACATTTGCCTTCATTCAGTTAATGATGATCTAAACCACGGCCAACATTTCTGAGTGAGACAGTAGGCCAAGTGGCTGATGTATTTTATTTCATCTTCAGTATGACTACTATTTTACTGAGGGTCAGAGAAGAGAACACTGTGCCCAAAGCCACACAGCTGGAAGTGGCAGGCTGAGACAGAAACCCAGGGAGGGAACTGTGGCAGCAGTCAGAGACAGACAGCTCCGTACCAACACAGGTCCAATTTAACTCCCCTCCCAGGAGCCTGGGCACTGCTCAATTCAGGGCAGGGAGCACTGCTAACAGAGGCAGTGTGCTTTAGGAGGCATGCAGGAAGTACCTGCTTAAGGGACGACCCACAGAATCTTCTACCCTGGCAGAGAATACTGTCAGAGGAGATGTCGGCAGTTAAAACTCACCAACTGACAATGTCTAAAAACCATGAAAGTGAGGTAAAAAGATTTCTGCAGCCTAGAAGTTCCAGTGTGGCTTGCTTTATACAAATTCTAACACTCCGACTTATTTACTTTCTAGATATCCGTAGACTGAGAGCCAAGAACTCAGAAGGCAGAAGAGGCTGCCAGAGGCCAGCAGGCACACTGGGAGCTAACAGCAGAAAACAGCTGGAAATAGAATATGGTGGTGGTGGGGGGGGGGGGGGGGGGGGAGACGACGACTCAACAAGCAGAGCCCCTGAATGCCACATAAGGCATCATCACAGTTCAATATAATGCTTGGGGTCTAATGATAATATTGTTGCTGAGTCATCCAGAAAAAGATACATTTCTCTTGCTCTACTCTGTTTCAGCTGGTAGGAAAATGATTCATCAGAAAAACAGTCAAAGCTAAAATAGCGCTCTGAATTTAGCTGAATTTTCCAGAAAAATGAAATCTTATCCCTTCTACAATGGTGGAAAAATGAACCATTACTGTAAGTCTCTAATGCTTTTGTTATAGGAAACAATCAAGTCATAAATCTCCAGGCTACTGATTTATTACCAACCCCTGGGCTAACGGAGTCTTGACCGAGAGGCCCTGCAGATGAGGAAGAGCCCGACGCAAAGGAGGCAGTAGGAGCGGTAATGGTGATGTGAATACTTACAGGGACTGACATCTCTGTACCTGTTTCGGTTTTTGTTTTTGGGAAGCTTAGCCACTCTACATGGGAAGTCGCTGGCTTCGTGGCGGATATCCTATGAAAAAAGGAGAAAGAGTTATCTTTGGAAAGTCTGGCATCAGGAATTCATGCAGACTTTAACTGAGCATGGGCTATATGCCAAGCACTGAGGAAGACCCAGTGCAGAAAGACATCAAAGGGAGCCAGACAGGCAGTGTGGGAAACTCGAGGTGATAATTCAGAGGCATGTACAAGGTCATGAGAGAAAAACAGAAGAGGAACAACCCTGTGGCTGGGGTTCGAGCAGTGTGGGGCTAGGAGCTGGACATATGCAGAGAGTGCAGGGAGAAGAAAGGGGTGTGTGTGTGTGTGTGTGTGTGTGTGTGTGTGTGTGTGTGTTTCCACTCAGGAATACCCAGCACAGCAAAGGCACTAGGGCTGAAGGGACAGTCAGTAGGCTGGTGGGAAAGAATGACAGGCGGCTGGAGCATACAGGTGGGTAGACCAGACCTTTGGACATATAGCCTGGGAGTCCACCTGTAACCTTTTATAAAGTTACATTTGTTAGAGCAGATAAAATGCACTTTTATGCCAATAAATCATCCAACTGCTTTCCTTAGGAGATGGTAAATAAATTCCATTATATTCAACTGTCAGAAAGAGGAAGTACCTGGATTAACATAAAACTTGCATCATGCCTCCTGCTAGACTGATTTCACACATCTAATTTTGCCCCCCTAAGGCACCACCATAATCACATTAAAAACCTCTGCTTTTTAATTTGTATTTCACTATTAAAAGACAAACCCACACAACAATGTGAATGCACTTAATGCCACTAAACTGTATCCTAAAAATGGTTACAGTGATAAATTTATTATGTATATTTTACTCCAATTAAAAAAAAAAAAAAAAAAAAAAGACAAACCCACAAGGGAAGGAAAGGAGAGAAGACAACAGCAACAAAATCCTGGAAGCGGGCAATCAGTAGCTGGCAGGACACGCAGGCCCGCAGCGGGAAAGCAGAGGAGCACCTTGATTTGCACCACAGATTCCTCCAAAGGCTCAGCCAGTGCTGCCTCTCTGGAAAGCGGGAGGGATTCACTGCAGAACGAAGTCTGTCAGGAGTGGAGCAGGATCTCCACTACCCCTACCATCCCCCATCCTGCTGCCTCAGAGAATCTCCAGATCTGCAGACATCTGGAGATTTTCTGAAAAACTTAAATCAAGAGGCAGCGTGCCCTCTAGATGATCCAAGCAGACAAGAGGAAAGACCAAAAGATGCCAAGGTGTGCAACTGACAAGGCCTGAACAAGCCTCTTCCACCTGCTCAGAGTTCTTGATCTGCCTGGTGACCTCCCACTCTTCATCACGTGCAGACAACCACTGGTTACAAGATGTAAAAGCAAAGCCTCTAGTAGAAAAAGATTTATAAGGGGAAAAACAAACAAACAAACAAAAAAACCAAACCACACCAGGTTTTAATAAACCATAGCGGGGGGGGGGGGGGGGGGGGGGGAGCTTTAAAAACATACAAGGAAAGAAAACATCAAAATTTTGTTCAAGAAAATTTTTCAGACTCATTAAGTGCTCATCATCATGATACAAACAGACCCATACTAAGGTACATGAATTTGCAATTCCAGAATCCTGCTGACAAAGAGAATATTCTATAAGTTTCCAGGAAGAAAAAGGTGATCAGCATGGCTTCTGACTTTGCCAGAACAACACTGAAAGCCAGACAGCAATGGAACAATGACTTCAAAATTCTGAAGAAAAATGATTTTCAATCTAGAATTCTATACCCAGCCCAACAATCATCAAGTGAGAGGGACAATAACAACATTTCCAGATATGCAAAGTCTCAAAAACTTTACTAACCATGCTTCCCTTTCTCAGCAATCCAATGGACCATGTCTTTTACCTAAAGTGGAGAAAAAACCAAAAAGAAAGATACAAGATATACAAGAAAAAAAATCTGACACAAAAGCAAAGGCAAATTCCCCCAAAACTGTGAAAGAAGGAGCTCCAAAGATGACAACCATGGACAGAACTAGGAACCACACAGGCCAGAAATAAGCAGAAGGACTAAAGAGATAGATGTGTTAACAATATGCCTTCTTTATCCATGTACCAACTATGACCAAAAGGACCAGAGAGAAGTGAGGAAAAGACCTGAAATCTAGGGAGAGGAAATCTAATTGAGAAGAAAAGCAAAGGAAGCCTCAAGATGATAGCTCTGTGTGACATGCCTACAGTTCAACCAACCCAAAGAGAGAGAGAGTGGAGGTCTGCAGTAGGAATGTCTGCAAGGAATAAAATTGAAACCAAGCAATCACCTGAAATTATTCTGTCCAACACAGCAGCCACAAGTCACACATGGCTATTGAGAGCACTTGAGATGTGACCAGTCTGAAAAAAGAGGTTCTGTAAAGCGTAAAACACACATTGGATGTTGATGACTTAGTACTAAAAAAAGGAAGTAAAATGTCTTAAATATTTTAAATATCTGTTGAAATAACGTGTTGAACATATTGGATTAAGTCAACTATGTCAATTTCATCTGCTTCACTTATTTATTTATTTTTAAAAATATATTTTATTGATTTTTTACAGAGAGGAAAGAAGAGGGATAGGGAGTTTGAAACATCGATGAGAGAGAAACATCGATCAGCTGCCTCCTGCACACTCCCTACTGGGTATGTGCCCGCAACCAAGGTACGTACATACCCTTGACTGGAATCAAACCTGGGACCCTTGAGTCCTCAGGCCAATGCTCTATCTACTGAGCCAAACTGGTTAGGACTCATGTGCTTCTTTTAAACCTTTTCTCTCTGGCTATGTAAAGAGATAAAATTATATATAAGGGGTGTATTGCAATTCTATTGGATAGCACTAAGTGATCTTGAGAAAATTGTTTTGAAAGGCTACTAGAAAGTATGAGAAGAATTAGCAATAAGTAGAAAGAAACTATGCAAATGAAAGTAACAGGCAATTATTAACTATAGGAAATTTTTTTAAAAAGGAAATGGCACAGTACACTACACTATCTGTGAACACTAGAAATTTAGTTTAGTAAAGGCCTAAAGTAGTGAATCAAACACGTTCCATAGAAATTTGTACATATATAATATACACAAGCTAGAATCAGTAGCTCAAGAGATGAAAGTGGTAATTGTGGGGAGAAAAGATTGGGTAATGGCTGGGGTGGGCAAGCCAATAACTGGATTTTATCACAAACCTATTATGGCACTATTTAACTTCGTAAGCCATGTGCATTTTAAACTTAGATAAAAAAAAAAAAAAAAAAAAAAAAAAAAAAAAAAAAAAAAAGAAAGAAAGAAAGAAAGAAAGAAAGAAAGAAAGAAAGAAAGAAAGAAAAAATAACCACATCCTGCTATTTTACTTATTTAAAAACTGCAAAATGGCAGGGAGGAATTTTTGACTCAGAGGATAAGCCAATAACTTAAAAGTACAATGACAGATTATAAACCTAGGTAGGTTTATAATTAAACAAATGAATCTAGTAGTTGCACACAAATCACATCTTTTATGGATGATTAAGTATTTAGGAAAATGCTACAGAGCACAGAAAAAATAACTTGAAGGAATGAAAATCAAAGTCTGAAGCATTTAACAACAGGTACAAATTATGCCTTGTGAGGTGAAACAATCACGTCAGTCCAATTAGTGTGAATGGATGAAGACGGAAGAAATACTTAGCATGGACAAACCACCGAATACACTGAGTAAATCAGGGTCCAAATATCCATAGCAGTGTGTAACTAATTCAGCCAAAGGATCATTAATATGCATTTTTTTGGTAAGAGAGAAAGAGACTGAGAAGGGGAAGGGAGAGAGAAGAGAGAGAACGAGTAAAAACCTGGCTATGTCATTTAATAAAGGGAAAATAAAGAGATATTCACACAATAGTTTTTTGTTTTTGTGTGTGTGTTTTTAAAGAGAGGAAGGGAGAGGGAGATAGAAACATGGGTGAGAGAGACACATTTTATTGGCTGCCTATTGCATGTCCTACACTAGGGATCAAGCCTGCAACCCCTGCATGTGTACTGACTGGGAATTGAATCATAACCTGGGAATTGAATCATGGGTTGATGCTCAACCACTGAGCCACACCAGCAAGGCTAAAAACAGATTTTAAAATTAAGGTATACTCATAGAGTAAAATGCACACATATGAAGTGTGTAGTTTTAAGTTTTTCTAATAAACTCTGAAGTATAATTTACAAATAATAAAATATACCCATTTAAGTGTTTCTCTACTTTAGAATGGCCTTTGGGAAACATATGCTGGCTCTAAATACAGGTACTTATATTTCATTTAGTAAAATAAAATGCTAGGAGTATAGTCTTAAAATTGAGGAATGAGAAAGTATCTTTAAAATTAAAGATAATTACCAATAGTGGTTAGAAGAAAGTAAGTAAATTACCGTGCCATAAATTTTTATATAGAATTGAGGCAAAACAAGATTTCTATATTCTAAAACTATCAAAAGTAGACTAACTTCCCCATAGTTTTAGAAAAAGGAGATTGCTCACTAATAAACAATTATAAGCTGACTTTATCACAAGCATAAAATATCCCCATTAGATATATTATTATGCTGGTCTAAAAAGAAATAGTCTACCAAGTATGTAAGATTTCTACAAAATAAAACAAAACAAAGGCCTTAAAGCTTATGATGAAAAGCTGAACACTGGGTAAATTTAGGAGCCAAGCCAAAAAGGACATAATAAACTTGCCATGAAACAGTTTTCCAGAAGTCTCCCCTAAACAAAAGCACAGAACAATTCAAGAATCATTCAAATGTACCTCAGCACATCAGGGGTGACATGGCACTAATTTAACAAGGTAACATATGAACACAAGGGGGATAACATACTTAGTCAAACAGTTGAAAAGCTGTCATTTTCTGATTTGAAATTTCTAATTTTCTTTAAAACATGGAGGCATAAAAGCCAGTACAGCCTTGCAGAAATGTTTTCTTTTTTATAGTAAGCACTTCATGAAGATAAATAAATATAGCAATTCTGGTTTTAACACCCTTTTCTCTT